GATAGTGGTTAGATCCTTGAGGTGGTTATGAAGATAGTGGTTAGATCCTTGAGGTGGTTATGAAGACAGTGGTTAGATCCTTGAGGTGGTTATGAAGACAGTGGTTAGATCCTTGAGGTGGTTATGAAGACAGTGGTTAGATCCTTGAGGTGGTTATGAAGACAGTGGTTAGATCCTTGAGGTGGTTATGAAGATAGTGGTTAGATCCTTGAGGTGGTTATGAAGACAGTGGTTAGATCCTTGAGGTGGTTATGAAGACAGTGGTTAGATCCTTGAGGTGGTTATGAAGACAGTGGTTAGATCCTTGAGGTGGTTATGAAGACAGTGGTTAGATCCTTGAGGTGGTTATGAAGATAGTGGTTAGATCCTTGAGGTGGTTATGAAGACAGTGGTTAGATCCTTGAGGTGGTTATGAAGACAGTGGTTAGATCCTTGAGGTGGTTATGAAGACAGTGGTTAGATCCTTGAGGTGGTTATGAAGACAGTGGTTAGATCCTTGAGGTGGTTATGAAGACAGTGGTTAGATCCTTGAGGTGGTTACGAAGACAGTGGTTAGATCCTTGAGGCGGTTGCGAAGACAGTGGTTAGATCCTTGAGGCGGTTGCGAAGACAGTGGTTAGATCCTCGAGGCGGTTACGACTAACAAAGATCGGTTTCGTGAAAGGGCATGGAAGTGTAAGGCGAAATAAACACGCATAAAAGCCTTTAGGAAATCTACGGTCAATGGTGGGCAAGCAATGATTCGGGCTGACTCCGCGACAATACAATGAAATATAATGCTTATCTAATGCAGGAGACTGACCATCTGGGAGTGAGAGGCCTTTGAACTGAGTTTAATTCGGTCAATGAGATTTTGACAGTACCTGACGTTGCCAATTCACTATTTAAAATAATTGCGCTTCCTTTTGTTCCAGCGAATTGAGCGCTCATTCTGCTGTTGGCCCAGTTTGCGTACTCTGTTAATTGAAACACATGCTTAATTTTTGCTTTGAACAGGTAGGTGTCTGTTTTATCATCTACCGTAAAAAGAAATTTAAAAAAGGAAAACTAGATGTTTCTTTACATTTATCCCCGTGAGTAATCCGGTGCCCCCTTGTGGATTAGACCCACTTCCTCAAGCGTGTCGTAGAAGTCGACTAATTGGGCACTTCCTTGGGAGTCGGAGTGCATCTGCCCGTGGGGCAAGGGACAACCAGCAGCACATATATAAGCCAGTAAAACAGATGTACACACAAAACTCAGGCCCTGGTACAAAGCTGAAATCCAAACGGACGAACAACCAGGACTTTCCAGGGGGGTTTACAGCCGGTAAACAGAAACACACACACAAAAAAAGCTGTTTTCAATACAATCATTTTCCTACAAAGACATTATTATTAAAAGGTTGCCTGCAAAATTCAAACAATTCATACCCAAGAGTGAAAAAGTTTGAAATCTTTAAAGTTGGATACGACTTTTGGAACTGACTACATCAACTTTTACTCAAGTCACTGTTGATAAAATAACACATTCACTCACAAGTGATCGTTTCAAATTCTACTATCGTCCGAGTTTTCAGTCGGGCTGTAAATTTTCTTTCTGCCTTGACCTCTAGCAGCTATTTCGTCAGTTGTCTAGTTGGTTTCACTTATTTTTTTTTTTCAAACAGTGCAATGCTTTCACTTGACCCTTTTTCCGAAACAAAGTGGATTTTTGTTTACAGCACAGGGTTGTCAATCCCTTCCCAACATCGCAGCCTGGAAGACCAAGGAGGAAGTTTAGTCTAATCCTTCTTCTCCACACCTGTCCAACTCAGTAGTAGTAGTAGTAGAGTACATTTTACCCCACTAAGACATTACACAAGCGATAAACACCCGATGACACAAAGTGCCACCATGTGGATGAGGATCACCCGTGTAGAGATCCAGGAAACCGCGTTTGTGGCCAGGCTAATTGCGGCCCCTGGCAAGAGAAGGGTGGGGCTTTAAAACAACGAAAAATCGCATCCCACAAGGAGATAACTATGAAAGATACATCTAACTTGGTGAAGACAGCCAGGGGTAAAAGTCTCGCCAGCATAGCTCTAAGAATCATTAGAACACAAAACCATATCGATACGCCAAGCCACCAGCGTCCGAGGTCGAACGCATTACAACTAACGAGCGCATTACAACTAACGAACGCATTACAACTAACGAACGCATTACAACTAACGAACGCATTACAACTAACGAGCGCATTACAACTAACGAACGCATTACAACTAACGAACGCATTACAACTAACGAACGCATTACAACTAACGAACGCATTACAACTAACGAACGCATTACAACTAACGAACGCATTACAACTAACGAACGCATTACAACTAACGAACGCATTACAACTAACGAGCGCATTACAACTAACGAACGCATTACAACTAACGAGCGCATTACAACTAACGAACGCATTACAACTAACGAACGCATTACAACTAACGAACCCATTACAACTAACGAACGCATTACAACTAACGAACGCATTACAACTAACGAACGCATTACAACTAACGAACGCATTACAACTAACGAACGCATTACAACTAACGAACGCATTACAACTAACGAACGCATTACAACTAACGAACGCATTACAACTAACGAACGCATTACAACTAACGAACGCATTACAACTAACGAACGCATTACAACTAACGAACGCATTACAACTAACGAACGCATTACAACTAACGAACGCATTACAACTAACGAACGCATTACAACTAACGAACGCATTACAACTAACGAACGCATTACAACTAACGAACGCATTACAACTAACGAACGCATTACAACTAACGAACGCATTACAACTAACGAACGCATTACAACTAACGAACGCATTACAACTAACGAACGCATTACAACTAACGAACGCATTACAACTAACGAACGCATTACAACTAACGAACGCATTACAACTAACGAACGCATTACAACTAACGAACGCATTACAACTAACGAACGCATTACAACTAACGAACGCATTACAACTACTAATGCTACTGCCGATACTACTATTGCTATAGCTGTTGCTTCAACCAAAACATGTCTTTGCGTACCTTGCAGTGCCCACATCTGGTTTGCTAGATAACCTCTGATGGCCTGCTCAACGTGTTCTTCACACACAGACAAGGATTTGTTGCCTGGGTTCCATGTTGTCAAATCATTCCAGTTGTTGACCAGAAATGTCGTCGCTTGCTGGCTGGACGGCGCGGGACTTCTTACGGCGTGTAGATTACCCACCATGATCCCCGTCCAGTCCTGTCTTTTGCCGGTTCTAACTTAGAATAATGAAAGATGTCAGAAAGCAATAATTCCTAGCTTCTCAAAAACAACGCTGATTTTAAAAAGCGTGCATAGCATATCACAACTACTGTTAGTACTGTGTCAAATGGTCTTCTGTTTGTGTTAATACACACCGCGTCTCGGTGCAAAGAGCTGAAAGTCGATGATAAGTGTGAGAAAGTGTCGTTCTGTACTCGACAGCGCTTTCCCTCGTTCTGGATATCCCCGCAGATGGTCAGCCGAAAGTCACTAAGAAGTTCCATTGTCATCATGTGCCGCTCTGGTAGGCGTTGGCTGTCATGTTTTACCATCTTACACCTTCACACGAATGATAGATGAGTACAATGTTTTTTTCTTGCCGCATCGATCTGGACACGGTATCCAGGTATTGATCTCTCTGCCTTCCTCTTGCTCTCTCTCCATCAATCTTTCCAGTTGTCATTAAGTTCTGCAGTCCATTCCTTCCCATAACAATGTCAATAAAACATTGCCTGTCTGCGTCTAACTGTTCTAACAAGTTTACGACTTGCATCTGTGTCGATGACTGGTTGGTTTCTTGTTCTATCCTTCCACGATTTTCAGTGCATCCTTCTCAGAAACTACATATCACATCTTACTTTATTTAATAATCAGTCAATCAATCAATCAATAAATGAGGTGTCGTCTCTACGTTGATCTGCGGCTTAGGCGTTACGAACGCGCTCCGTAATGCCGGCATGATGGGTTCGATCCCAGCGGCGGGCCTTGCGCATGCGTTGGATTTGACAGTGGTACCGAGAGGCCGACCGTCCAGAAGCAATGGCAAACTACTGGACTTAAACTTGCCTAGAAAAACCGTAACAGCCAAAAAATGCTGGGGTTGGTTCTGCGTCGTCCTATAAAAGATACTCAACTAACTATTAACTTTACGATGAAGGTTGGCTGCAACGAAGTTTTCACGCGGACTTTGATCCTGGATGTAGGCTCGCTGAACCTTCAGTTCGTTGATCTTTTGATGCTGTTCTCCCATTCGTGTCTCTTCCTCAAATGTTTTCTCTCTGTCTCCAGTAAGATGTTAACAGGAGAGCTATGATTTTTCTTGTGGATGAAATATTTCACTTGTCTCCCCCACCTCGACCCCCCCCACCCCCCCCCCCCAATCCCACACCTTTTTTCAGCATTTGTCTTTTATTTCCCATCTCCTCAAAACCTCTGTATTTGAAAGTTTTTGTTATCTCGAAATAGTTTGTTGTGTCTCAGAACGTTGCAGAACCAATTCCAGAATTTTTTTTTTTTAAATTGGCTTCTGTGATTTTTCTAAGCAAATTTTATGTTCAGTAGTTTACCAGTACTGAACGGTCGGCTGTCAGTATCACTGTCCAGACTAAGGCAAAGCGGTCTGCTACCTAGTCGACAGCAGCTGAGATCGAACCCGGCACCTTGGCTCCCAAGTCAACCCAGCCTTGAGTGGGTACCAGGCATAGTCGTGGAAAGTAAAGGCGGCCATGTGATGTTAACCACATCACCCACCGAGTGTCGATTAGTCTATAAAATATAGGTCTAGCCCTATATGCCCAATAGCATAAAGACGTGGACAACGGTCCTTTGTTTTCACATCTCCAAGTCACATTACTCACATTCTTAAAGTTGAAACAGAAGCTTGGGGCTGTAAGTGTTGATCATATCCTAGGTCAGAACATTTGAATGCTATTGCTGTAGCTTTCTCTTCTTCTGTCTTTTTTTTTTTTTTTTTTCTAATGGAGCATTGATCATTCAGTCAGCTTGTAACAAGCTATGACATCTTTTGAAATCCTCACGCAGATTCTGAGACCCCCTTTTTTTTTGGGGGGGGGGGGGGGGGGGGGGATCTATTGCCCTTCCCCATCATCATCATCATGATCATCATCATCATCGCCAGTTAGCAGGCCGTGTACAGAACGTCGCTCTCATCACAGCACATCTGACACTATATTTCTCTAGCCAATACTCTGGCCCTTTGTGCTTTTATAACCAATGAATCTTCAATATCTTCATGAAGGTCTGACTCTGGTAATTCGAAAAACTGTACCCACCATAACTATTCTCTTCAGGTTTAACATGGCCAAGATAAATCGGCACAGCCAAGCATGAGAAGCACACTGGACGCAAAGAACTGGTACTATTAACCGCACGACGCTGATGAATATGTTGAGAGGGGAATCTGAGCGCCTATGGATGTGTCCTGAGTGCTGTGAACAAAATCTAACTCATAACTCCCAACATTAGCGTTGGAGACAGAATGCTGTTTATGAGTCCGTTCTACTTATGTAGGATGTCGGTGGTTTTCTTTTTTCTTGGTTTATGATATTTTAAGATAATTTATGTGTCATTTTGGTTCAAAATCTGTTAACACCCCTCCCCGCCCCCTTTTCCTTTCACCGCCTCCCCCAACTACACTCCCAAAACAAGCAGGTCAAAAAGCTAGGTTGTGACTGAAACTATATATCGGACCGAAAGGCGCAAATATCACTGCCTAGCTGTAAATCACGAAACAATGTGTCAAGCACCTTTTTAAGACAGAACGAAAAAAAATTAAAAAAAAAAAAAAAGCACATCCAAGTTTAAATTGTGAGAACATAAATCTTTCATATAACAGTGTCAGTTTGTGTATGCGTGGTGTATGTGAGTAGTGGACTATCTTTCTGTCATTAAGGAAGACTATCTGTCTGTCATTAAGGAAGACTATCTTTCTGTCATTAAGGAAGACTATCTTTCTGTCATTAAGGAAGACTATCTGTCTGTCATTAAGGAAGACTATCTTTCTGTCATTAAGGAAGACTATCTGTCTGTCATTAAGGAAGACTATCTTTCTGTCATTAAGGAAGACTATCTGTCTGTCTTTAAGGAAGACTATCTTTCTGTCATTAAGGACGAAATTAATGGGGTTTTGATGTGAACTGCCATAGAGAGGTTCTTAAAATACTGCGGACCGAGGAGAACACAAATACTGATATTCTAAAAGGTTGGCATATCAAGGAAAAGTGGCTGGTATACATCTTGTCTCGGAAACTGAAATATTTGGGCCATAATAAGGGCCAATATGGATTAGAAACTAGAGTAGCGAAAGGTGTAGTACGTCAGAAGTACCTGCCGACCTTTTGGAAGATGAGCGCATGATATAAGAGACACCTCGGGTGTAAAAGTACACGAGGCGGGAGAGTTAGAGAGAAACCAAGTTTATTTCAAGCAGGCTACAATGACAACGAAATTCCGTAAATGACCTGATACTTGATGATGATTGAACTCAGGGTTAACATTTACAACCTTCACAACAACATCAACGTCCTTAGCCGCACAGCCCTGCAGGTGACACCTAGCTGATGCAGCCGTTACCAGTGCCCTAACTTTAACCACTTCTGATGTTGGCAAGGGGAAAAGGGGGGGGGGGGTATCTGGGATCTGCCTTGTTGACTTGCAGTCCAGATTCAGATTTTTTTTTAAACATCTAAGGATGGTATTATAAACCTGTAGGTGGCCACAAGGAGGGGACAAACTGATGGATCGAACACCAACAACGTGCACGTTGTCCATGTTTATGCACCACACAGTAATGTCGAACAAATTCCCACACAGTAATGCAAAACAAATTACCACACAGTAATGTAATACAAATAACCACACAGTAATGTAGAACACATCAGAACACAGTAATGTAATACAAATAACCACACAGTAATGTAATACAAATAACCACACAGTAATGTAATACAAATAACCACACAGTAATGTAATACAAATAACCACACAGTAATGTAATACAAATAACCACACAGTAATGTAGAACACATCCCCACACAGTAATGTAGAACACATCACCACACAGTATTGTAGAACACATCACCACACAGTAATGAAGAACACATCACCACACAGTAATGTAGAACACATCACCATGCAGTAATGTAGAACACATCACCACACAGTAATGTAGAACAAACCACCACACAGTAATGTAGAACAAACCGCCACACAGTAATGTAGAACAAACCGCCACACACTAATGTAGAACAAACCACCACATAGTAATGTAGAACACATCACCACACAGTAATGTAGAACACATCACCACACAGTAATGTAGAACACATCACCACACAGAAATATAGAACAAATCACCACACAGTAATGTAGAACATATCACCACACAGTAATGTAGAACACATCACCACACAGAAATAAAGAACAAATCACCACACAGTAATTTAGAACAAATCACCACACAGTAATGTAATACAAATCACTACAAAGTAATGTAGAGCAAATCACCTCACAGTAATATAGAACAAATCACCACACAATAATTTAGAACCAATCACCACACAGTAATGTAGAACAAATCACCACACAGTAATGTAATACAAATCACCACACAGTAATGTAGAACAAATGACCACACAGTAATGTAGATCAAATCACTACACAGTAATGTAGAACACATCACCACACAGTAATTTAGAACAAATCACCACACAGTAATGTAATACAAATCACTACAAAGTAATGTAGAGCAAATCACCTCACAGTAATATAGAACAAATCACCACACAATAATTTAGAACCAATCACCACACAGTAATGTAGAACAAATCACCACACAGTAATGTAATACAAATCACCACACAGTAATGTAGAACAAATGACCACACACACAGTAATGTAGATCAAATCACTACACAGTAATGTAGAACACATCACCACACAGTAATGTAGAACCCATCACCACACAGTATTGAAGAACACATCACCATGCAGTAATGTAGAACACATCACCACACAGTAATGTAGAACACATCACCACACAGTAATGTTGAACACATCACCACACAGTAATGTAGAACACATCACCACACAGTAATGTAGAACACATCACCACACAGTAGTGTAGAACACATCACCACACAGTAATGTAGAACACATCACCACACAGTAATGTAGAACACATCACCATAGAGTAATGTAGAACACATCACCACACAGTAATGTAGAACACATCACCACACAGTTATGTAGAACACATCACCACACAGTAATGTAGAACACATCACCATAGAGTAATGTAGAACACATCACCACACAGTAATGTAGAACACATCACCACACAGTAATGTAGACCACATCAGCACACAGTAATGTAGAACACATCACCACACAGTAATGAAGAACACATCACCATAGAGTAATGTAGAACACATCACCACACAGTAGTGTTGAACAAACCACCACACAGTAATGTAGAACAAACCACCACACAGTAATGTAGAACACATCACCACACAGTAATGTAGAACAAACCACCACACAGTAATGTAGAACACATCACCATAGAGTAATGTAGAACACATCACCACACAGTAGTGTAGAACAAACCACCACACAGTAATGTAGAACAAACCACCACACAGTAATGTAGAACAAGCCACCACACAGTAATGTAGAACACATCACCACACAGTAGTGTAGAACAAACCACCACAAAGTAGTGTAGAACAAACCACCACACAGTAGTGTAGAACAAACCACCACACAGTAATGTAGAACACATCACCACACAGTAATGTAGAACAAGCCACCACACAGTAATGTAGAACAAACCACCACACAGTAGTGTAGAACAAACCACCACACAGTAGTGTAGAACACATCACCACACAGTAATGTAGAACAAGCCACCACACAGTAATGTAGAACAAATCACCACACAGTAATGTAGAACAAACCACCACACAGTAGTGTAGAACAAACCACCACACAGTAGTGTAGAACACATCACCACACAGTAATGTAGAACAAGCCACCACACAGTAATGTAGAACAAACCACCACACAGTAATGTAGAACACATCACCACACAGTAGTGTAGAACAAACCACCACACAGTAATGTAGAACAAACCACCACACAGTAGTGTAGAACAAACCACCACACAGTAATGTAGAACACATCATCACACAGTAATGTAGAACAAACCACCACACAGTAGTGTAGAACAAACCACCACACAGTTGTGTAGAACAAACCACCACACAGTAGTGTAGAACAAACCACCACACAGTAGTGTAGAACAAACCACCACACAGTAGTGTAGAACACATCACCACACAGTAATGTAGAACAAACCACCACACAGTAATGTAGAACAAACCACCACACAGTATTGTAGAACACATCACCACACAGTAATGTAGAACAAACCACCACACAGTAGTGTAGAACAAACCACCACACAGTAGTGTAGAACAAGCCACCACACAATAATGTAGAACAAGCCACCACACAGTAATGTAGAACAAACCACCACACAGTAGTGTAGAACAAGCCACCACACAGTAGTGTAGAACAAGCCACCACAGAGTAATGTAGAACAAACCACCACACAGTAATGTAGAACAAACCACCACACAGTAATGTAGAACAAGCCACCACACAGTAATGTAGAACAAGCCACCACACATTAATGTAGAACACATCACCACACAGTAGTGTAGAACAAGCCACCACACAGTAATGTAGAACCAATATACGATTCGAACATTCTTTAATGTGTATTAAAGATTAGAAATTAGGACACGTATCCGTTATAAAATGACTAAATAACGAAGTAACAATGACAGTATTGCACAATAGGGCCTGTCATATTTCTATGTATTTCGTAAGACTCATTACATCTTAACTGACGTCAACATTCAGTGATGCACAGAGGGAGCCGCCTTGATCTCGGCGCTCGCCTGCAGATCGGAAAATTAAACTTTAAAAAAAACGCAGCATTGAGTGGGTACCAAGTACAGTCCTGGGAAGTAAAGGCGGCCGGTGTGATGCTGACCACATCACCCACCAAGTACCTGTTGGTGTGGAAAACAATCAGTCTAGCCCTATATGCCCAATGCGCCTGAAGGCAGGAAAAGGGTCCTTTACTTTAGTAAATTAGATTTAAATACTTGAGCTAACAACAAATAATAAGCTTCTTCTTGGCATTCCCTAGTTGTAAACTCTGGCGGAAAGTTCAGGTTGTTCGTCCAATTCTGGACAGCAGGGCTGTTCCAGAGACTGAGTGTTGTGTGTGCATCAGTTTTCCATGTGTGACTCATCTGTATGCACACCGCTGGTTCCTTGCCTCTCAGGCAGATGCACTCCGACTTCAAAGGAAGCTCCCAATTAGTCGACTTTTACGACACGCTTTTTGGGTAGGCAGTGGGTCTATTCTTGTTTTCCCTATAACAGGGTCCCGGAACCCACGCGGGGACAAATAATAATAACATGAAGAGAAAAGCATACACTAAAATATAGAAACAATCGTCTTTAGGAGACCAACACGTATGGTAATGAATATGTTTGTTGATATTCTTCGTCTAGAAAAAGTTGGCAGTCCGGTTTATACGTTTTTTTTCTGGTCTCGAACCCTCTCCAAATTTAATGTCGGCATCTCCACACAGACGACCAAAATAGCCGACAGAGCGCAAGTGAACACAACGCCAGCTGTACCATACACAACCTGCGGTGATAAAAAGAATTCAAGTGTCATTTTAGAGAAACTCTAGTGGTTTTAACACTCGGCCTGATACTAGACACCCAGGTTCGATCCTCGATAAAAGAAGATGTATTCTGTCAGGGGCACACACAAAAAATCAAAACATGCACTGTCCGTGGTGACTGCGACAACTAAGAGGCCCTAAATCCTTAGGCCCATGAATCTCTCGCCTCAGTGACCACTATGTGGTCAATACGACCATCAGACCGCCACTGATACCATCGTAATTGGAACTATGCGCTGACCGCTGAAGACGAGGACGTGGCGTTTAAGGATTGTTCACCCTTTTTATATGTGGGCATTTTAATGCCAGGAACAGAGCACTGGACATTACTGGTAATAATAGACGAGGAAATACCATACCCAGGGATTTCTTATAACTTTTTGAGCCAGTCACATCGGTCTTCCTTTAATGAGAGAGTCAAAATCAGCAAGAACATTCATTAAATTCCAAGTTGTGCCTTCGTTATCTATATGTGTACCCTGAAACTCTGTTTTCCTATGCTTCAACTGGCCAGGTCTATCACCACATCCTTTACCCCATTAATGACCAGCACACATTGTCCATGTCTTCCTCGTCCAGAAGGATTTTTATTAATGGTGTGTCCAGGACGCACAAATCTATCTGTATTTGATTCCCCAAGCATGATGTCCGAGTGCTGTGATGCAGTGACACAGATTATGCTAGACAAACGTATACTTTACAACAGTGACACAGACGATACTAGACAAACGTATACTTTACAACAGTGACACAGACGAGACTAGACAAACCTATATTTTACAACAGTGACACAGACGATACTAGACAAACGTATACTTTACAACAGTGACACAGACAGTACTGAAAAGAATTAACAGTAAACTTCACAACAACGTCACGAACAATACTAAACAAAGTTAACTTTAAACTTCACAAGAGCGACACGGACAGTACTAGGTAGCCAGCCTACCCTACATAGATTTGACTATTGCTTGAACACTGATTCACTCCTGTCATCGCCAAATGTTCTCAAGCTTCCATATTTGTGCAGCCATTGTGCCTTCTGCTAGCACCATCCAAAACCTGTCTCTTTTCAGCTGTGTAGACTGTTACCTGCTGTTCACTGTTATAGCTAGAATGACAATCGTCTATAGTCTGCGATAACATACCACAGCAAAGATGTTTAAATAAAGCGGCTGCTCCAGGTTCTCCAGTATGACTGCCAGCACGGACATGTGGATCAGGTAGCCAGTGTAAGTCAAGCGGCCTAGGACTGTAAATGGTGACCAGGACAGGAAGGCATGGATTGGTCCTAGAAAAAAATATATAAACAATACCAAAGGTGTAACAAAATAATTGCATACTTGGCTCTAACGGGCAGGATTGTGGCAACATTAGTTGGGTATTGCACAGCGTCCATAGCCATCAAAACAGGGCTTGTAGCAATATGGCTGGGAAATAGGACCTTAGGCGTTTATAAGATTAATGCGCCACCACCCCACCCACTATTTCCATGTTTTCTGTGTGTCGGCAGTCCTGGTAGCCAGTAGCTGAAAATAACAAACACACTTTTACAGGCGGGTTTTATTTACTTTGTTTTGATTTCTCTCCGTAGAACGGGAGGCTCCCTGCTGTGAGTGACACAAAAAGCCTAGAGCGGGTCAACAGAGCGTTGACAATCTGAAGGATACACACATCAGAAGCCAACTCGCTGCACATCATTTTGAAACAACAGAATACACCTGCACTAAGCGCAAAACATGCCCAACCCTTATCTACACCTCATCGATTCTCATTGGTACTAAACTTACTAGAAGAGAACCAAGTCTTGTCAACTATAACTGTCTAGAGATGAGCGGTCGAATGCCTGGCTACTTCACTTCGATGTAAGTAATATCTTCTTTCTTTTATTTCGTCATCTCACTGATACCAGGTTGTAGCCCAGTGTCGTGGTTTTGTCGTCTCACTGATACCAGGTTGTAGCCCAGTGCCATGTTTTTTGTCGTCTCACTGATACCAGGTTGTAGCCCAGTGCCATGGTTTTTGTCGTCTCACTGATACCAGGTTGTAGCCCAGTGTCGTGGTTTTGTCGTCTCACTGATACCAGGTTGTAGCCCAGTGTCGTGGTTTTATCATCTCACTGATACCAGGTTGTAGCCCAGTGCCATGGTTTTGTCGTCTCACTGATTCCAGGTTGTAGCCCAGTGTTATGGTTTTTGTCGTCTCACCGATACCATGTTGTAGCCCAGTGTCGTGGTTTTATCATCTCACTGATACCAGGTTGTAGCCCAGTGCCATGGTTTTTGTCGTCTCACTGATATCAGGTTGTAGCCCAGTGTCATGGTTTTGTCGTCTCACTGATACCAGGTTGTAGCCCAGTGCCATGGTTTTGTCGTCTCACTGATACCAGATTGTAGCCCAGTGCTATGGGTTTGTCGTCTCACTGATACCAGGTTGTAGCCCAGTATTGTGGTTTTTGTCGTCTCACTCATACCAGGTTGTAGCCCAGTGCCATGGTTTTTGTCGTCTCACTGATACCAGGTTGGAGCCCAGTGTCGTGGTTTTGTCGTCTCAATGATACCAGGTTGTAGCCCAGTGCCATGGTTTTTGTCGTCTCACTGATACCAGGTTGTAGCCCAGTGTTGTGGTTTTTGTCGTCTCACTGATACCACGTTGTAGTCCAGTGTCGTGGTTTTTGTCGTCTCACTCATACCAGGTTGGAGCCCAGTGCCATGGTTTTTGTCGTCTCACTGATACCAGGTTGTAGCCCAGTGTTGTGGTTCTTGTCGTCTCACTCATACCAGGTTGTAGCCCAGTGCCATGGTTTTTGTCGTCTCACTGATACCAGGTTGGAGCCCAGTGTCGTGGTTTTGTCGTCTCAATGATACCAGGTTGTAGCCCAGTGCCATGGTTTTTGTCGTCTCACTGATACCAGGTTGTAGCCCAGTGTTGTGGTTTTTGTCGTCTCACTGATACCACGTTGTAGCCCAGTGTCGTGGTTTTTGTCGTCTCACTGATACCAGGTTGTAGCCCAGTGTTGTGGTTTTTGTCGTCTCACTGATACCAGGTTGTAGCCCAGTGTTGTGGTTTTTGTCGTCTCACTGATACCAGGTTGTAGCCCAGTGTTGTGGTTTTTGTCGTCTCACTCATACCAGGTTGTAGCCCAGTGCCATGGTTTTTGTCGTCTCACTGATACCAGGTTGGAGCCCAGTGTCATGGTTTTGTCGTCTCACTGATACCAGGTTGTAGTCCAGTGTCATGGTTTTGTCGTCTCACTGATACCAGGTTGTAGCCCAGTGTTGTGGTTTTTGTCGTCTCACTCATACCAGGTTGTAGCCCAGTGTTGTGGTTTTTGTCGTCTCACTCATACCAGGTTGTAGCCCAGTGCCATGGTTTTGTCGTCTCACTGATACCAGGTTGGAGTCCAGTGTCATGGTTTTGTCGTCTCACTGATACCAGGTTGGAGTCCAGTGTCATGGTTTTGTCGTCTCACTGATACCAGGTTGGAGTCCAGTGTCATGGTTTTATCGTCTCACTGATACCAGGTTGTAGCCCAGTGCCATGGTTTTGTCGTCTCACTGATACCAGGTTGTAGCCCAGTGCCATGGTTTTGTCGTCTCACTGATACCAGGTTGTAGCCCAGTGCCATGGTTTTTGTCGTCTCACTGATACCAGGTTGGAGTCCAGTGTCATGGTTTTGTCGTCTCACTGATACCAGGTTGGAGTCCAGTGCCATGGTTTTTGTCGTCTCACTGATACCAGGTTGTAGCCCAGTGTTGTGGTTTTTGTCGTCTCACTCATACCAGGTTGTAGCCCAGTGTTGTGGTTTTTGTCGTCTCACTCATACCAGGTTGTAGCCCAGTGTTGTGGTTTTTGTCGTCTCACTCATACCAGGTTGTAGCCCAGTGCCATGGTTTTTGTCGTCTCACTGATACCAGGTTGTAGCCCAGTGCCATGGTTTTGTCGTCTCACTGATACCAGGTTGTAGCCCAGTGCCATGGTTTTGTCGTCTCACTGATACCAGGTTGTAGCCCAGTGCCATGGTTTTGTCGTCTCACTGATACCAGGTTGTAGCCCAGTGCCATGGTTTTGTCGTCTCACTGATACCAGGTTGTAGCCCAGTGCCATGGTTTTGTCATCTCACTGATACCAGGTTGTAGCCCAGGGTCATGGTTTTGTCGTCTCACTGATACCAGGTTGTAGCCCAGTGTCATGGTTTTGTCATCTCACTGATACCAGGTTGGAGCCCAGTGTCATGGTTTTGTCGTCTCACTGATACCAGGTTGGAGTCCAGTGTCATGGTTTTGTCGTCTCACTGATACCAGGTTGTAGCCCAGTGTCATGGTTTTGTCATCTCACTGATACCAGGTTGTAGCCCAGTGTCATGGTTTTGTCGTCTCACTGATACCAGGTTGTAGCCCAGTGTCATGGTTTTGTCATCTCACTGATACCAGGTTGTAGCCCAGTGTCATGGTTTTGTCGTCTCACTGATACCAGGTTGTAGCCCAGTGTCATGGTTTTGTCATCTCACTGATACCAGGTTGTAGCCCAGTGTCATGGTTTTGTCGTCTCACTGATACCAGGTTGGAGTCCAGTGTCATGGTTTTGTCGTCTCACTGATACCAGGTTGTAGCCCAGTGTCATGGTTTTGTCATCTCACTGATACCAGGTTGTAGCCCAGTGTCATGGTTTTGTCGTCTCACTGATACCAGGTTGTAGCCCAGTGTCATGGTTTTGTCGTCTCACTGATACCAGGTTGGAGTCCAGTGTCATGGTTTTGTCTCTCACTGATACCAGGTTGGAGTCCAGTGTCATGGTTTTGTCGTCTCACTGATACCAGGTTGGAGTCCAGTGTCATGGTTTTGTCGTCTCACTGATACCAGGTTGGAGTCCAGTGTCATGGTTTTGTCGTCTCACTGATACCAGGTTGGAGCCCAGTGTCATGGTTTTGTCGTCTCACTGATACCAGGTTGGAGTCCAGTGTCATGGTTTTGTCGTCTCACTGATACCAGGTTGGAGTCCAGTGTCATGGTTTTGTCGTCTCACTGATACCAGGTTGGAGTCCAGTGTCATGGTTTTGTCGTCTCACTGATACCAGGTTGGAGTCCAGTGTCATGGTTTTGTCGTCTCACTGATACCAGGTTGGAGTCCAGTGTCATGGTTTTGTCGTCTCACTGATACCAGGTTGTAGCCCAGTGTTGTGGTTTTGTCGTCTCACTGATACCAGGTTGGAGCCCAGTGTCATGGTTTTGTCGTCTCACTGATACCAGGTTGTAGCCCAGTGCCATGGTTTTGTCGTCTCACTGATACCAGGTTGTAGCCCAGTGCCATGGTTTTGTCGTCTCACTGATACCAGGTTGTAGCCCAGTGCCATGGTTTTGTCGTCTCACTGATACCAGGTTGTAGCCCAGTGCCATGGTTTTGTCGTCTCACTGATACCAGGTTGTAGCCCAGTGCCATGGTTTTGTCGTCTCACTGATACCAGGTTGTAGCCCACAGTCATGGTTTTCTGTATCTGTTATGCGCTTTTCGGGTGGCTTTCAGTGATGGATTTGTTCCTCTTTTTTCAGGTTTTATCTACATCTATCGATCTATTTCCTGATCTTCCTCTCGCTTTCCTTCCAGATTTTCTGCAGTAAAAAATTCTCATGTGCAGTTTGGCCTGGTTGTATTCTCACTTGACGGTTGAGTAGGTAATACTATCAACAGCCTCATGGTTAACAATTATCGGCAGTGTTTAAAAAGCTGCTACTTCACAATGTGTATACTGTAAATATGTCTGTAAATATGTGTTTATTTATGTTCTTGTTTACTTATCAGCCATATTTTACGTCATGAACCTCGAGCGCTAATTATCAGTAAGAGGTAGCCTGAGTAATTTCCCAAAGCTAGTGATTTTGTCTAAAATAACATTCTGGCTGTTCCTCTTGAGTGTAACAAGGCATAATTATCTACACAGGGGTAGCTAAACTCCTTGCCTAGTTTATGAAGACGACATCAACAAGTTTATCTAGATCTTCATTAGCTTCACTTCCTCTCTCTCTGCCTTTTCCCCAGCCCCCACCACCTCTTCCCCCTTTTCAGTCTCTTCGTCTCTTCTTTCTTCTAAATTCAAAAACTGACCACACGGCAAACATCGCCGTAGCGTGGATGGGACAATAAAAAACAAGAATCACAACAGCAACAATGCACACATTTCTTGATGGCCCTACCTCCATATCCTGACGTGCAGGCGACAATGATCCAGCAAATACAGGCGCCCCAGACGGTTCGAAACGTTGCATTGTAAACTGACGCCACCAATAAACTGCTGCGATATTCTCCGCTCAAATCACCATGAAAACCAAACACTACAAACAATCCAGCTACAGCAGTAAGGATCCATCCAATCATAACAACGCACTGAAACAAGAAATACTTGTATAATTATAAATTTAAAATACTTACTATATCCAGTTCGTCCTTTTTAGGACGAAATTTTTTGTCATTTGAAGACCTACTCTGGCTTTTGCCGGGGGCAGCAATATAGGCAGGCCATACATATGGCTGAATGTCTGAACGCGGTTTCTGGGACCTCTCCACGGCGATCCTCATCCGCATGGTGGCACTTTGTGTCATCGGGTGTTTATCGCTTGTGTGATGTCCTGGTGGGTAGAAAGTCAGTCAGTCAGTCAGTCAGTAAATTTAAAATTATACTGTTACTTCGCGTCCTTTTTAGGATGAAATTTTTTCTTATTTGAAGCCCTACTCTGGCGCTTGCCAGGGGCCGCAATATAGCCTGGCCATAAATAATGCCTAAGGGCTGACGGCAGTTTCTGGGACCTCTCCACGGTGATCCTCACCCACATGGTGGCACATTGTGTCATCGGGTGTTTATCGCTTGTGTTTGTCCTAGTGGGGTAGAAAGTCAGTCAGTCAGTTAAATTAAAAAAAAAAAAATAAACTGTTTATAAAACAACACGCCAAGGACATTGTTACCATCAGCAGTTTCCATATTTACAGCTGAATCTAATTAATATTCAAGAACCCATTCTGAGCAAAACGTATCACCATGCTTTCGATTTTCCTTGTTGCGGAATTTACTGCTCTCCTCTTTTTTGAATCACATTTTGTTATGTTTGGGGGCCAGGGGGTGGGGAGTTATGTATCTTATGTATTTTCAAGGGGGCGTGGGGGCTTGGAACAAAATTAAGGGGGAGGGGGTAAAGGGTCTTGCCATATATTCAAAAGGGGGGGGGGGGGGGGTTAAGGAATTTGCAACATACTCAAGGGGACGTACGTGGGAGTCTTGCAATATACTCAAGGGGACGTACGTGAGAGTCTTGCAATATACTCAAGGGGACGTACGTGAGAGTCTTGCTATATACTCAAGGGGACATACGTGAGAGTCTTGCAATATACTCAAGGGGAGCTACTTGGGAGTCTTACAATATACTCGAGGGGACGTACGTGAGAGTCTTGCAATATACTGAAGGGGACGTACGTGGGAGACTTGCAATATACTCAAGGGGACGTACTTGGGAGTCTTGCAATATACTCAAGGGGACGTACGTGGGTGTCGTGCAATATACTCAAGGGGACGTACGTGCGAGTCTTGCAATATACTTAAAGGGACATACGTGAGAGTCTTGCAATATACTCAAGGGGACGTACATGGGAGTCTAGCTATATACTCAGGGGGACGTACGTGAGAGTCTTGGAGTATACTCAAGTGGGCACAACCTGAACAATAGTGAAGACGACAGGTATAAGTCAAGAGCCAGTCGTCTGCAATACGGGAAAAAGGCCCAAAGCGGACGGAGAGACACGTACACGATTGTTTCTAAAAGCCATTGATTCGCTTCCTTAATTTAGAAATTCTCAAGTCAAACAAAGAAGACCCTGCGCTTCTGAAAGAACTTGCAAGGGGACCAGCATGATCACTTACCCTGTCCATGGTAACACGGCCGTTGTTAGCGGACATGATGTACCCGGTCAGGATACCCAGAGAGAAGGGTGCAATTCGGGTGTAGAACGGGAAGTAGATGTAGTGGAAGTACTCCATTGGTTGTCTGTGAAATGTGTATGTGTATTTATCATTTATATCATGACATCTGAGAACGAATATATATGTGTGTGTGTGTGTGTGTGTGTGTGTGTGTGTTAAGGAAGAAACAGAAGAAAAAGAGTAGAGAAGAGAAAGGAAGATGAAAGAGGATAGAGTAGGAATCGGAGGACAAAAACAAAACAAAAAGAATGAACAGGATTATACGGCGATGAAGACAGTAAGGATGAGGAGGAGAATTAAAAGAAGAAGAAGACGAAGAAGAAGAAGAAGAAGAAGAAGAAGAAGAAGAAGAAGAAGAAGAAGAAGAAGAAGAAGAAGAAGAAGAAGAACAAGAACAAGAACAAGAACAAGAACAAGAAGAAGAAAGAACTGGAAGAAAGAACTAGAAGAAGGAAGAAAAAGGTAAATGAAGGAATGAAGGAAGCGAAAGAGGAAGCGGAGAATCAGAAGACAAAGAAGAAAAATGTACTTCCAACAGTAATTATAATTTAAAAAGAAAACAAAAACAGAACACTTACCCTATAGTGCCAATCGTTGCATTGAAGTAATAGGCTAAACTTCCGGTCAGAATCCACTGAGCCAAGATAAAGAGGAGACAACTGGCGATACCATAGTTCCTGTGACTAGTCAGATAATACAATAAGCAACAGCACACTTACAGTAAAATGAATGTATACATTGAGTTAGAATTCCTTTAAAATGAGGGGGGGGGGGGGCGCAACGATGTTTTGAAAAACAACTTTTCACAAACATCATAAACAGTCATCATTTGTGGGTCATGTTATGAGAAGAAGGAAACTGGAGCATGCTGGAACCACCAGAAAGATCTGTGAAGAGAGAGAAAGACAAGGACAACGCGAGACGATTCTTGGCCGCCTTACGTCCTGGCATGGAGGGGATTCCACGCGCACTGATACTTGCAGATGCTGAATCGCAGATTGTGGAGAGATATGACCGCCCACACCAGACGGCAGGGCACTTGATGATAATGATGATGATGGTGATGATGATGATGATGATGATGATGATGATGATGATGATGATGATGATGATGATGTTGATACAAGTTTCTCAGAAAAAAAAATCTATGGTTTAACGATGAACGATAAGTTTCAGTATATTTTCTCAGTATAACAGAACAACTAGAGTGTACCAATGCACGATAAGTTTCAGCACATCCCGGCATTTTTGCTTCTTCCTTTTCTTCAGCTTTCCAAGCCCTTGAGGTCGTTGCTGCATATATCACCCGCCTCCTTTCATCTCTCTTGTTGGCCTTCTTCCACTTGGTGCCACCAAGTGTTTGCAGGTCTGTCTGGACATTATCTCTCCTTCGTCTTTTTGGTCTGCCTCGCTGTACATGATCATTCAGCTCTCTTTTGTATACAATTTTTACTTCTCTGTCATCTGGCATTCTTTCAATTTGTCCCAGCCATTTCAGTCTATTAGATCGCATGATGTCAGGTAATCAATAGGGATTTAAACAAATTATAAATTTCTTTGTTGTTTCTTACTTTCCGCTGTTAGCATCTTAGCATTTAAAAAAAATCTCAAGTGTAACGATGAACGAGAAGCTTCTAGAATACTCACTAATAAAAAGGTAACAACATCAGCGGACTGAGGAGGTAGAACTGATAGTCGGCGGCAAGACTCCAGCTTTGGGGGAAGCACTGGTAGAACAAGCAGTTGATATTATATCAATTGTCACGTAGCTTTAAAAAACAAATCAAAATAAAATCACTATTTCAAAGCAAACAATCAGCGTGTTTACAGTAAACTGTGTAACGGGAACTTTTCAAAACTTTAAATTGCATGCGTGTCATAGGCATTTTAATTTCTGGTAGACATTTCCAACTATAGCCTCCCGTGTGTTACTGGAACACAATATTTAACTGTATGCGGGATAAGCTATCAAAATAACCACCATGCATCGCTGGACGTGTAAACAGATTTTCAAACAATCTCCGCGTGTGTGTCAATTTTTATTTTATTTTTTGTATTTTAGTTTGAGGGGAACACACAATATTTGTCAAACAAGGATCAAAGAAATTGGCTGCTTTACGAAAAAAAAGCAGCACCTGTACAATTTTAAATTACAAAATTATATGGACAAGGAAAATTTAACGCCCATATACACACATTCATCTTGATCCGTATGGGGATTTCAAGATTTTTACTAAAGTGTGCCGGCAAAACTTTTGAAACGCACAGTAATTTCATGTGGACATAAATATCTGACTTACCATGTAGTCAGGCTCAAACTTCCTGAGGTTGTTGACGTAGAGCAGGAAAGTCCACCAGTATTTCTCACAAGCCACTTTATCCGTGGGTTGAACTGTGGGGGCCGTGGGGCCGGACACAAAGAACCTCTGCAGCCCCACGATCGAGACGAAAGCCACCATGTAGGTCGGGGTTAGTCTGTCAAGAATACAATATGTACCCGTTTCTTAGTGTTTTAATAATAATAATATTAATAATAATAATATTGATAATAATAATAACAATAATCTAATTGGTTGGTAAAAAAATCAATTTTATTCTCAGGGATAAGTAAGAAGTAATATACTTACTTGCCAGTACTCAATAGGTGATGTGGTGACTGTACGTCGACCATCCTTACTTGCAAGAACAATTCTTGTAACCCATAACTTGGATGTGTCGCAAAAACAACTCTGGTTTAATCACCGCCTTTATTTTCCCAAAGAAAAGGGGTGCCGTGAAGTAGTGGCTAGGTGCTCGTTTGTGGATAGAAGGTGGTGGGTTCAGGGCACTTTCCCCCCCCCCCCCCCCCCAAATAAAAAAGTTACCAAAAAAAAATCATCGGATCGTAGGTTCACAAACAACTCAAAGAGGGCATTCCGATAATTTCTCACAATTAACTCTGATGTTTTCACTGAAACTACATTTGCCTCCAGTTTACATACAACCAGTACAGTTACCCCCCCCCCCCCCTGCTTCCCACACACAAACACACACTAAAAAACGGTTCGCATACCTATAGCACCTGTTTACCTCAGTACCCTTATGCAATGGTTGGAAATCCCAATCAGACGTGTCAGGAGTTCGAATGCCAGTTAGGACAGGATTAGTGAGAAAGCATTTATCAAGAGGGATTGCCATTTTCACATGGATGAGTGAATGACTAGGTTAAATCTCGTGAAATGGAGGTGGACAAAAAGTGGAAAATAAAGAAAAAAAAGAGCAGAAAGAGACAGCGAGAGGAAGCGGTCGATATGACCGAGGGAACGTTTGAGTGAACCTGAATATCTGATAGCGGGATCGAGTATCTGTCGAATGCAGAATAATGGCCGAGCGGAGGAGGCAAGCTTGTTGATAGCTGAAGTCTAAAGAAAATGCTTGTTGTATACAGTGTAGACGAGCGCGAGTGAATAGCAGTTACAAGTCCAAAAAAGGTAAAGTGACTTTATCATCTCATGAGTTCTCTATGGCATGAAAACAACAGCAGCAGAGAAATACTTTCTAGACGAGTCTACGAAAGTCGACATGGCTGATGAATCAGCTGTAAACATTTGTGTGTGTAAACTGGTGTGTCTTACTACTAACTCTTTCAACGGTGTGTTCATACATCTAGACAAACGAGAGTCATTGAACCTTACATCATTTAGTTACCATTAGTTTACTCACTTCGACACACTTACTTCTAGTACACTTAGCTTCAGTACACCTACCCCAGTACACATACGTCTAGTACACATAGCACTTGCATCTTTACCTCTGGTACATTTACTCCCAGTACGCTTACATGCAGTACAAATAACCTCCAGTAAACTTACCTCCAGTACCGATGTATGAAGTAACGTCTCCAGCTGAATTTCCAACCACTCTCGATGACTTTCTTCAAGTTGAGATAAGACACCAGAAAGCCGCTGTAAGAGAGACACACACATACAACACATTATAGGCTTTGGCCAAGCTGCTGTTGCTGGAGAACAGATGTCCGAAGCGGACGTGCTCTTTGCGCGCAGTCTGATCTATCACACTAGACAATCTAATAAGGTCTACAGATCGAACTATGTAAGCTCTATTCTCAGGCTGTTTCCGACATTTTTATAAAACGGGACTATTGACTATTTTTTTTAAAGCAGCGATGCGACGGCCGGGACACGCCGAAAAAACGGGACTGTCTGGGTGAAAATGGGACGTGTGGTCATCCTAGCTGTTAATACTTGGTCATATGCAAACAATTCCTAAATTTCACCTAGCATCGCTCCCTGCTTCTTGGCATACAAGGTCTGACAGTTAAGTAATGATATTTCATTATGAGCAAGACAAAAAAAGCCATCTATGAAGCAAAGCATGGAATCCAAAGAGGCAACCTCCGTCTATTATTTGGCAACTTTTCATCGCCACCCAATAAGCCAACAACAAAGAAGCCGCAATTTTGTTGACCTAGTCAGATGTGCATTGTTACGTAATCAGCATGGAGCAAAAAGCTAACATTAAATTATGTTTAAAACTCAGAGAACAAGCCATTGAGACAGTTGAAATGAATGAGGATAATTGTTTTTCTCGTGCACAGATTTTCAGATGGTATTTACAATTCAAAAGTTTTTGGTCTGGAAATGATTAGGAATGCAACTAGACCTGGACACCTAATTTCTATTCGTAATGAGGAACTCATTGCAAAAGTCAAAGAACGGATGAGAAAAAAAGATCGCTTTTGACTATGAGGATAATGGCAGATAAATCTCCCGTAAAAAGAGAGACCATTCGTAAAATTTTAGTAGAAGATTTGGACAAGAAAGAAGCTATTTGCCGGTTTGCACCATCATCATCATCAGGTGCCGTGCCGACTGGCGTGGGCGATCATGCCTCTCCATAATCTGCGATCTCCTGCAGCATGTATCAGTTCGTGTGCCGATACACCTCCATGCCATGCAACAAGACTGTCAAGTATCTTCTCTCGTTGTCTTCCTCTATCTCTCCTTCCACAGATCTTTCCAGTGGTCACAACATGTTCTATTTTCCCTCTTCTCATAACATGCCCGAAATATGGTGACTGTCTCCTTCTGATGTCTGTGATAAGTTGTCTTCGTGCTCCCGCCTCTTCCAAATCTCTTGGTTGCTCTTTTTGGATGTCCAATGTATTCTAAGCATTCTTCTGTAAAACCACATCTCTGAGGCCTCCAGAAATTGTTTGGCCTGTCTACCGATTGTCTTGGATTCACAGCTAATGTGTGCACCATTTATCTGATGACCAAAAACACAGATGTTCCACTATGGTCCCACAACTAAACGTCAAAGTGCTCAATAGAAAGCATCAACATCATCACCAAAAGGGAAACAAGTCACCAGTCTTCAAAAGTCGAAATTGAAGACAATATTGTTGTGCTGGTGTTGGACAACAAAGGAGTTATTCACAAAGAATGTATTCCAAATAGGCAGACAGCCACATTATATTTAAGTGTTTTGAAAGGTCTATTGAAAAGGATTCTCAGAGTCCCACCCGAGCATCCAACATCTGGCATTTTTTCTCCTTCATGACAATGCACTGCCCACGATTTCAAGGACCAACAACAGAAGAACTACAGAGGTCGCTCCAGTGTTTGTTAGACCGTGCCACTCTCTGTATCAGTCAATGTACAAGGGGCTTACTTTGAATAAAATACAGGTTATGTCTTCAACTGTTGATTATTTTATTTTTTATGGAATTAGTCTCGTTACTTAATTGTCAGATCTTGTATACTGTCAGTGTAGGTTATTCTATCGCTAGGTGTGATGTCCTGGTGGAGTTTAATATCATCATCAATGTAGGTTATGAAAAGCAGTCTACATAGTATACGCACTTGTCGTCGTCCTCTATTTTCTTCAACAGGTTTGGATAAACCTGATTTGGTTCGTACACACCTTTTACATAAACACATGGCTACATATATAATAGAGGACATAAAATACCATATGGTAAAAATTATTTCTCATTTCCGTTGTTTTGTATTTAATGTTAAAAATTTTGGTCGCCTGAGCTACAGAGTGCTGTGCTCTGTGCTTGAGGTGGCAACGGAAAGAGTGGAAAGAGGAGAAGACGAGGAGATGGAGAGAGAAGAAGAAAGAAATCAGAGAGCCAAGCCCGGAGAGTCGGCAAAAAACGGAGCGTTTGGAACTAAAGCATATTAAAGTAGATTACTGGAATTGTTGCAGTCATATTGTTGCAGGCAAAGTCATATCTCAGAGTAGCTACAGACAAGAAGCACCTCCTAGGTAGAGCTAAGGGTCACAGACTGAACAGAGAAAGGTCTTCGATGGCGCAACCTGAAGACACAGTTGGGCATGTGCGCAGTCTTGATAAATTTCGGCGAGGAGAGGAGTGGGTCAGTGTCCGAGCAAATTTCAGACTTATGTATGGTTCTAATTTGTTTGTTTTAGTATCCAGAAGCCATGAGTCGTTAACTCTTAGGCTCGGTATTATGGATATCGCAACCTTTCGGCCTTGATTCCATTGTAAATACCGTAAATCTGGGAGAAAATGTGGCTTTCCTGCCTACCCCCGGAATTGAACCCGGACCACAAGGAGTTCGTCACCCGGTCTCCGCGCAATCCGGTTTAGCCAATTACGCTAGAGAGCCGGGCGTGTGGTTCTAATCAGTTTAGGTCGTGAGTGCAGGGACTGGCCAGCTGGTGCTGCAGGAACAGAAATTCAACAAATGATTCATGACAATTCCCGCCCAGATGATGAGATTGTCTATACAGATGGCTCTGAATGGACGTCGCTTAGTGCAACAAAGCCTTGCATATGATATCACAACGACTAGTTTGAGAATGGAGGTTGAGGCGGTCACTGATGCCTTCCGCTGGCTTGGGAATTAACTGTGCACACATGCCGTAACTGTAACTGACTCACAGAGCGTTTTGTGAAAGGTGGAGACAGGCATGCTATATGCAAAGTGGCAAGCATCGCTTCAGAAGTCCTGGGTAGCTAGCATCCTTTGGATATTTTCTCCAGATCATGCTGGTGTGTTGGGAAATGAGCAGGCAGACAGACTGGCCGGCTCTGCACCACTTGGTGGTGAACTGATGTATGACAAGCTGGATGTTGGGAGGACCCTTTAGAAACGAGTGAACAGTGCGGAGGTACAAATAGATCATTACAGTCTGAGGGTAACGGCGCAACGAGGAGTTACCAGGGGATCTGGAAGACGCTCTACACTCAGGTGAATGGCGGGACGGATATACAATCAGACAGTTACTGGTGCCATCGGAATTGGAACGCGTCGTTTGCTGCTGAATATGAGGACGGAGCGCTTATGGGAGTATCCTGAGTGTTGTGATGTCGATTCTTAATTCAACATTTAAAATTTATTTTTAGAGGCATAAATTACGTTTTGTGCATAAATACATAAAATTACTTGATAGCAGAGGTATTATATAGGGTTACAAAAACAAATATAGCAACTACCTCATCGCAGATGAAATACACAACTCTAAGAAAAACAAAAAATACCTTATAGCAAAGAAGACATAAATACTTTATTGCAAAGACAACATAAATACCTCGTAGCAAAGACAACATAAATGCCTTATAGAAATTAGGACATAAATACTTTATAGCAAAGAAGACATAAATACCTTATAGCAAAGAGGACATAAATACCTTATAGCAAAGAAGACATAAATACTTTATAGCAAAGAGGGCATAAATACCTTATAAAGACAACATAAATACCTCATAGCAAAGAGAACATAAATACTTTATATCAAAGAGGATACAATAATCTAATAGCAAAGAAGACATAAATACCTTATAGCAAGGAGGACATAAATACCTTATAGCAAAGAGGACATAAATTCTTTATAGCAAAGACGACATAAAATGGCTTAAAGCAAAGAGGACAAAAATACATTATAGCAAAGAGGACATAAAATGCCTTATAGCAAAGAGAACATAAATACTGTATTGCAAAGAGAACATAAATACCTTATAGTAAAGATGACATAAATACCTGATAGCAAGGAGGACATAAAAAGTGTATAGCAAAAAAGACATAAAATACCTTATAGCAAATAGGACATAAATACCTTATAGCTAAGAGGGCACAAAAACCGTGTAGCAGAGACATGAAACACCTTATAGCAAAGATGACATAAAATACTTTATAGCAAAAAGGATATAAAATACCTTATAGCAAAGATAACATAAAATACTTTATAGCAAAGAGGACGTAAAATACCTTATAGCAATGATGACATAAAAACCGTATAGCAGAGGACATAAAATACCTTATAGCAAAGAACGAATCAACTCCCAGAGGCATGTTGGTGATGGTATCAAAGATCCTGTAACGTATGACGGAAGCGTTGGCCTGCAATATATTACCTATATCAGAGAGAAAACCATGAATGATGTTGCTATATTTCTGGTCAGACTATAAACTTCTTTTAACTACAGTGAAAAGATGGAAAATGCAATGGTACGTACATGTAATAAAATCCAAAGGCCTCTTAAAAACAATACTCCAGGGACTCTTAGAGAGGTAGACCAAGAAAGACCTGGACACACAATTTGCTTGACTAGACAGGCCTTAGTCATGCAGCCAGAGGTCCACTGTATCTGACCGTCAAATGTGGAAGGAGCTGACCATACAGTCATCAGCAACTGCTGATCGAACTACACGCAGTATTCATCATCATCATCATGTAGCAGGTCCTTCGCAGAACGTTGCTCTCATCACAGTCTGCCTGAAAGAAACTCGGTCTCTTTCCAATTCTCCCGCCTCATGAACTTTCACACTCAAGGAGTCACTTATATCCTGTGCACATCTTCGTGTCGGTCGGCCCCTGACCCTCCTTCCCTGGTGCCATGCCTTCTTTTTTTCAATCCGTCGTGGCGCTTGATATGACCAAAATATTTCAGCTTCCTAGAGAGGATGCTGTTTATTAGCCAATCTTCCTAGATTTTCAGATCTTTCAATATGTCAGTATTACTCCTCTTCTTTGTCAAAGTTATTCTGAGAATCTTTCTTTAGCATTTAAGCTCAAAAGCCCCTATTCTCTTTCTTAAGGACTGGGAGACAGTCCACGGCTCACATCTGTATGTAGCCACAGGGAAGATGTATGCTCTCAAAATTATAATTTTTATCTCCTTGCATAGACTTTTAAGGCTGTTCAATCTTTGCATTGCTATGGCCATCCTCCTTTTAATTTCTGTCAGTCTCCATTGCTGTTTATTAATGAGCCTAGATATTCTTCATCATTTATTGTTATTTTTGTGTGACAGTCAGTTTTATCTGTGGACATTATTTTCGTTTTCTTTAAATTCAAGAACAGATGTTGATCTTCACTGTGCCCTTGGACAGACAATATTAAATTTTCTATTTCCTTTACGCTGTTCGAAAGGAGGACTGTGTCATCTGCGTAGCGGAGTTCCTGAATAGGATTGCCACCAATTTTGAGTGGATAATAACTGTCACCAGTCTGGTAATTTTTGACATTTCTCATTATATTTTCTGCGTATATATTGTATAGGTATGGTGAGAGAATGCATCCCTGCCTCACCCCCTTTTGCACCTCGAACCAATCAGATATTTCACCAGCTGCTCTGACAGCTGCTTGTTATTCATGATAAAGACTTTCAATTAAATGCTATCCCATACTTTTTATAATAGTCCACAGTTTGTGGTGTTAGACAAAATTAAATGCCTTGCTATAATCAATAAAACAAGCATGAAGATCTACGTTCTATTCTCTGAATTTTTCAAAAATTATTCTCATATTGAAGATGTGATCCCTAGTTCCTCTACCCTGTCTGAAGACATGTTCTGAAGTTACGGAGGACACACAACTGCGACATGGGGTCAACTGGAAATGCAGGTAAAACTTCCGTTCAATAAAACATCTTGTACAAGTGAAATTATGTCTCTTATCTCGAATATATCCGCACACTTTTTTTCACCAATGATTTTCAGTTAAAATACTGCGGCCTATATAAACGTGTGTGTACTCTGTATATCTTGTCATCCATTTTTGGATGCAATTTCCCTTTATTTGAAGCCCCACCCTGGCTCTTACCAGGGGCCGCAATATAGTCCGGCCATAAATATGGTCTAATGGCTCAACGAGGTTTCTGGGACCTCTCCACGGTGAACCTCATCCACATGGTGGCACTTTGTGTCATCGGGTTTCTATCGCTTGTGTGATGTCCTGGTGGGGTAAAAGAAGATAGATAGATAGACTTTGTAGTTTCCCAGAAGCTTCAGAGCTGAAACAACAACCCTTCTTTCTCACCGCCTTTCTTATAAATCTCATCTCTCCAGCTGAAATTTTGCGTTTATGTTTTTCTAGACTGTCCATGTTTGACACTGGTAGCAGACGGTACGAATAACACATTTATCGGCTGCTGTACATTTCCTGGTACCTACTTTAAAATGCCTGGTCTACGGGCCACGATGTTTGATAAAAGTCAGTCACAATGCAAATTCGAACGTAAGATTTGGGACCGACAAGCAAGCGAAAACTCACTGCGCCATCGTGTCCCCAAAAATCAGTGTTCATCCCCAGGTAGCGGGCTCTTCGCAGAACATCGCTCTCATCATGGTCTGCATGAAAGCAACTCGGCCTCTCGCCAGCTCTCGTCAGCTCTCCCGTCTCGTGCACTTTTATATCTTAGGAGTCACTTATATCCTGTGCCCATCTTCGAGCTGGTCGGTCCCTGCCCCTCCTTCCTGGTACCATGCCTTCTGCTGTTATTTTTCAGTACTTTTCGACATATTTCAGCTTCCGAGACAAGATGCTGTTTATAAACCAATCTGCCTTCAGAGCCTTGTTTTTTTTTTTTTTTTTCTTCCTTGTCCGAAGTATAATGAGAAACTCTGAATAGCATTTCAGCTCAAAGCCTACATTTTCATCCTTAAAGACTGGGAGATAGTCCACTCCGTATTTTGCAACAGGGAAGATTCATGCTTTCACAATTTTAACTTTGATTTCCTTGGTGGTGTTTCACAATAGACTTTCAGTGCTGTCTTTATATTAGGATGATAATAAAGATAATAATTCAAAAGAATATTTAAACACTGTACATGTTCACGAGGACTGAAACGATATATTGCAAGTAATAACTTGTGCCATGTATTGCCTGTGACCTTATTAGTTACGGAGCTAAATATCTAGAATGGATTACTATATTTACGGTCGTTGCAAGAACACAGACCTGATTCATGACTCTGATGACCCTGTCAGATGGCGACTTTTCACTGTACTCTTTTATCAGGTTGGCAGATAATGACCTGAAATGGTGTCACGGGACTATCAGAGGAATCACTGTCCGAGTGCCCATAGAGTTAGGTTCTTAAGGTGAAGGCCGGATTCTATCCTAGGTAACGGTGGAAGATTTTTTTTTTCCGATAGGGGGCAAAAATAGAAGGGGGAAAATCCTAACCAGCACAGTTCGCGGTACCGTCACCAGCCAGACGGCCCTTTCTCGTCGGGCTCCAAACCTTTCTGTTGCACTAAAAGTTAGTCAGGATAGCGAGGACTACTCGCATCGCTGGCACCTGCATCCCTGTTGTGCACATTTTGCAGACTATAAGGTATTTCTATTTTCATCATAATATGCCTTGTTCTTCTTTCATAGTCCATAGTCGGGTGTGTCTACAGAGTTCTGTACTGTCAACCATTTCTGATACAGACAATCTAGATGTCACACTTTTTGGTATATTCGCTGTTGGTTCCCCACTACTTTTTCCCCTCCCTCTCTCCTCCAACTTTGACAGTGTCACCCGGCACTAGGGCTCTTATCTCACGACATGACCAAACAATGTAGATTGTCTCCTTCTGCTGGAAGTGGCTTCACAATAAATAAATAACACGTGCAGCTCCCGTATACAAATATTCTGTTTCAAATAGGACTTGTCTCCATTCCTCCTCATTAGCTAGGTATTACTCAAAATTATTAATCGTGTAGCCTAACATGCGTTTATGACATGAGAATCTAGACAAGCGACTTACTTGCACGGCCATAAATTAACATAAAATATGCGTGGCCTATGATAATCCATGCCATGGTCAGAAATCGCATGCCTTGGATGACCGTGATTGACCCAGGTGCCTGCGAGGTGGACAAGAGACGTTTCCCGTTTGTGTATGCGGAGAATGACAGAAGAACGTTCACCCACACACCTGTCAGACAAACAGTGGAAAATGACTTTCAAATATTTCTATATATCATTCCAGCTTGATCGTCTTTTACCCTGTCTTGTCGAAATAGAGTAAGACGTGGTGAGTGTCTGTCCGAGTACCCGGTATACTGGACTTCACATTGACTCTTTTGCCTTTGTATATCGTTTACATTGAACAACAATGTCGACTGCACAAAGTCAATAACAACAAAACAAAACAAAAAAAGACTTGCTTGAGCAGTACAGAGACCAAACTACATGAAGAACTAATGGCACAACACTGAAAGGTAGTTAATGTAAATATTTTTAGATAATGCATTTTTATCACGGCAACTTATGGATGTGAATCACGGACTATGACTCAATCTTTAAATACAAAAATTCGGAGCATTTGAATTGAAATGCTATAGAAACATTATTTGAATACAGCAGAACAAGAAGAAGAAAAATAACGATATCCTGCATGGTCTGAACGCCAAGAAGAACTGGCTCATCAACAGCATCCACACCCGAAAGCTGAAGTATTTTGGCCATGTTAACCATCCTGGTGGAGTAGAAAGAGCTGCGATGAGAGTACAGTTTCCCATAAACGAGGCAGATGCACATAGATCTGGAGAACTCGGTAGTGAAAGAGACAGCACATATATCTGGAGAACTGAGTAGTGAAAGAGACAGCACATAGATCTGGAGAACTGAGTAGTGAAAGAGACAGCACATAGATCTGGAGAACTCGGTAGTGAAAGAGACAGCACATAGATCTGAAGAACTGGTTAGTGAAAGAGACAGCACATAGATCTGGAGAACTCGGTAGTGAAAGAGATATTTTCTCAATATGCCCCAACCATTTCAGTCTATTAGCCCTCATGATGCCAGTGATAAATGGTGATTTAAACAGATTATGAATTTCGTTGTTGCTTCTCACTATCCACTCCCCACTGTTTGCATCTTTGATGGGTCCAAAGATTCTTCGTAAGACTGTTTTCGTAAACCTGAAATAAGGCTTCATCACTTTTAGTTGTGCTCCAAATTTCAGAGCTTTATAAAACGACTGGTCTTATCAAGTTTTATATACTATATGATAGTTTTTTAAAAAAACGTAGACTAACAATTCTCACTTTGTACTACGAATTCTTCTTCTTCTTTTGTTCGCTTGAAATAAATTACCTATATCTGCAATGTTGTCTCTAGTATGAACTTCGCTGTATGTCGTAATCCACTCAGCGACCCGTAAAGTTTGACTTGCACCGATGTTTCTCTTAACCAAAAGTTGTGTCTTGATATGTTGTATTTGGGACAGTCTTGGATGACATGATCTGTTCTCTCAGGTGTCAGTCTACATGTGCCCATGGCTGATTCGCCGATTTTAAATGTTGTACTATGCATTGTTATCTTGTCTGTGGTGTGAGTACCGCAGACACGCAGACAATAAAAATAACGTAAACTGTAATAGCCCTCGTCTTATATAAGGAAACATTTATCTCACCTGTAGTACGTGATTTGATCTCTTGTTCGGGTTCCTTGACTTGACCTTCCGGTGTGAGATTGGTTGACCCCGGCTTGCAGAACTGAGCTGCCAGATCAACGGCTGTACCCGAGATGACTAGAGTACCTATCACTACAACTATCAGCCTGTAAGTTGTCAACAAATAATATATTACATTTGTTTTAACAATTTCTTGGTTTCATTGTTTACATCCCCTTGGGGATCCCAGGGCACCATTTATTTCAGGTAGGGGTGGGGGTGGGGAATACACCAACTGCCCCTAAACAACTACGTCACAAAAAGCAATTAATTACCTCTTGTAGTTTCAAGTGCGCTTTACCTTCACCCCTTCTATTCCAAGAAGCTGGATTTTCAACAAATACTCCCGTCTGTAAGAGATGAGACAATACGGGATAGAAGTAGGGAAACTAATAATTCAGATACAACGGCTTGTTACAGCATTTGTTTGTGATACAAGACAACAGATTTATCACAATATGTTTGCAATGTCCAAGGAACGCATGCTGAGTTGTTGGGTACTGAAGGAGCTGATGTGTATAAAATCAGATGTGTTCGGCCTAATTATGCAGATATCGCCTCTTCAATCCCTTCAAGCATGTCGTTACATATCGATTGTTTAAAATAAAATATAACATTATAGCGCTATTCTTTCTATGTATAGAGCAAAACTTGTTTACGGAGCTTTTATTTCTACCAATAGAGCAAGTATAGAATACATTATTCAACCAATTTTAAACGTTATTTGTATCAGGTATTTAAATGTCGCAATTTCTGATTGACTTCCACTGTAGCACAGTTGTCTACTTTGTGTATGCTGATGTCACAGCCAGGTTCATCTTGAGTTTGTTACAGGAAGAGTCAACTGAAAGAGAACAGACGAGGAGAAAGATGGTCGTGTCGAAGGTGTTGATGATGATATTTTGCTAGCTGCGTTCTTCTTGTGTCACTCTGATGCGTGCTCAAAGAAATGTCTTGAAACAACTCTTCTTTTCAATGTACTGTTTCTGATGAAGTATTTAAAAGCTTCTTCTGTTTTTTGTTTGTTTGTTTGTTGTTGTTGTTTTTTTTTAAATTGCATTCACAAAGTTTTTTTTTTTTTTAATGAAACCTCGCCTAATGTGCAAGGGTGGCAACAAAATCTGACTTAATGTGCATGGGTGGCAACAAAACCTTGCTTAATGTGCAAGGGTGGCAACAAAATCTGGCTAGTGTTGACAAATTTTGGGATCTCAACGTTCTTACTGTCAGATTGCAATGACTGCTTGAATGGCCAATGTCTTCTATTGTGATGGCCACTTCTTGCACAGATATCCCACTCACAGAGAAAGCCACAGTACGTGGTGTGTCCACTTTGTAGTCCAAGCAAAACAGCCACCACTTTTAAGTCACCGCAAAGCGACCAGTGAGGATGATAGTAGTTTATACGCTTCAAATGATGCTTAATGTTTTTATAAGTTTTTTTTTTTTGTGTGTGTGAACTGCCTCACCAACTAGAATTGACAGTAACACATTACCGTTTTTCAACAAAACCGCTTTAAGATTCGCCTTGGGTGAATCAATGAAAGACCTAAACTCTTCAGCTTTGCAACTGATTTAAAGGGCTGCCGTTAAACCAGAAATAGTTTGGCAATGTGAAAAGTTTGGCAATGTGAAAAGTTTGGCAATGTTAAAAGTTTGGCAATGTTAAAAGTTTGGCAATGTTAAAAGTTTGGCAATGTTAAAAGTTTGGCAATGTTAAAAGTTTGGCAATGTTAAAAGTTTGGCAATGTGAAAGATCATCCTCTTTGGAACAAAATATAATCAGCGGCTCCTGGCGGTTCCCATACACATACATTTTAACATCAACTTTGCAGGAGATTCCAATATTGAATTGGGGAACTCAATAGCTCCGCCTTCTTCTTCGATAAATTCGTATTCTTACAAAATCATTTAGTTCCCTATGGGATTTTATGTGTGGTTTAGTAGATGTCGTTTGCTCGAAATCTGGGTCTCTTTAGGCTGATGGTTCAAACCACTAACATCATCTTTTTCATCAGTGGTAGCAGCTGAAAATGATTCTGGCACTATGGGAAAGGTAGATAATTGCAATATGGTACCGGACGTATTACATACGGTATGTATTGATATTCCAGAATATATGTTATCTTTTTTTATATACCTTTCCCAGTTGGAGCAACCATGCAAGAGTAACAGTTGTTGAGTTTACCAATGAGCTCTTTCAAATCATCAGTGCTGCAGAAGGCATAGACTGTGTTTAGTTGGGGCAGCCACAGTTGACGTTGCACTGCATATGTCTAGCTGGTTATGTGTGGTGCCAAACTCTTATCTTCATCTCCTATTCTGCAGCCAAAATACAAACTATACGCCTTCTTTATCACTTTAGTTATATTTCATTTTTGTGATAGAGATATCACCTGGCCACATATATAGCATACATTATTATCGTTGTTTACACACGTCATAGACATTTTTAACTACGACACTTTTACTAAGGACAGATGTATGAATTAAAGATACAATTTGATCACTTATAAGTAATTTATAAATGAATGTGATGTAATCATAGGTAGGATTGCATCATCAACTGATAGTTACATTGTTATTGATCATTATACAAAAGACTGCTATCTGTTACAACAGGCGTGTCATATATATATATATATATATATATATATATATATATATATATATATATATAAGACACGCCTGTTGTAAACATATAATATATATATATATATATATATATATATATATATATATATATATATATATATATATATATATATATGACTGACAGTAATTAGATAAACTTAGCATAAATCTATAAAACTAGAGCTAGTCAACATTTGTAAATATCGTTGTCCTTTTCAGTTCACTAAAAGTAGTTAGGATCAGTTACTTTCCTTTCTGGTACATTTTGGTTGTTGGCTAGTGCTATAAAGCAGTTACTTCTACTTACAGAGCAATTTTTGTGAAGGTTGTAATTTCTCTCTCCTCCGACAGACAGTCCGTTGATTGAGCTGCAAGGAATGAACTCAGATTCATCGCCTCCAATCCTAGGATGTCAAACAAACAGTTAAGCAGGTGAAATCAGCGTGCAGATGAATATGGTGATGTCCTAATGACATCAAATTTTCTCGGGCGACTCAGCATGGGAATGCCCAATGTGCAGGGATGTCGATTGTGATGACATAACATAAGTCATAATGACAGTTTAAAGAAGACTTCCCGGACGAGCCACCAAGTTGTCAGGGTCAAGAGTCAAGTACAAGTTCAGTGTCCGTGTGTGCAACACGGTCGTCTGAGCTGCCTTCTCATACATTCGCACGTCTGGCAGTTAGAGTTCCCCTCATTCTTGTCCTTCCACTTCTTGTCATAATGTTATGGTATAATAAACTAGTCTATCAAGCCGTGCTTTACACCGACTTCACACGCCCTCTTGGCCACTGGACGTTTCAGGAAAACATGCTATCTGTCAGCTCTGAGCAAGTTTTCCAGGAAAAACAAACAGCTACATAGTTCTATCAACACCATCCTGTTTAGTTAGGATAAAGCCATTTATTAGTTGGCGTTCTTTAGATATTTTCTCCACTATGTGTCGGTGTATTAGGAAATGAACAGGCAGATAGATATACAGGTTGGTTGTATGCAACTTCTTGTTGAGTTAATGCGGAAAAGCTAGATGTTGTAAGTGCCCTTTTGGGGCGAGTAAACAGTGCGGAAGAACAGATGGATTATCCTGATCTGAAGAGAATGGCAATGTAAGGCGTAACCAGGCAATCTGGTCTATCATGAGCACTCAAGGAAAAACTGAGTCGGATACACAATCAGATTGATATTGGTACTATTGCTGAAGATGCGGATGGAGCGCATGTGGGAATGTCCCGAGAGATGTGATGTCTATTCTTAATTAAACTTTAGACATTTATCAAAGTTAATGTACTTATAAAATAGCACTACTACTAACAGCTACACTATCACTGTCACAATAACTGCCAACACAACTCTAACCCTTTGTGGCATGGCCAAAATGCAGTTGTCCAGACCGACCGCTTGGATACTTGATCGACGACTGCCCACAACTTGAGCGCACTTCCCTTAACTCGCGCGGTTCATGTAACCTCTGTGGCTTGTGTACCCACTCGACAATCCCTTGTTTAATGCGGTTCTACACTCACTTGATCTCCACCCCTGCCACGATCTGGACACTCATCGTCCCAATTTTGTAATGCACTAAAAAATTAGCAGCTTTCTGTTATCCATTTGTTGACCGATGAAGGGGTGAAGTCTAAAGAAAGAAATTCATAGTCGAATGAAAATCTAGTAAGGTGATGCATGTCTGTCAACCCAGCAAATGTTTAAGTGGTGTAGGACGTTACAAAATGGGCTGACTTCAGTGACAAATTGTTCATGACTGGGTCATGCATGCCGAGTGATGATCCCAGAGTCGGCTGCAGCCATTGAATGCCTTGTACAGAAAATCGCGTGAGTAACATTGACATCAGTCAAGATTTAGCAACTATCATCATTTATGATGTGCTGCAGTAGCCCAAAGTGTCGGCAAGGTATGTTGCTGTTGTAAATAATGATGCAAACGCTGACTGTACTGTGAAATACATGTTGCTGTTGTAAATAATGATGCAAACGCTGACTGTACTGTGAAATACATGTTGCTGTTGTAAATAATGATGCAAGCGATGACTGTACTGTGAAATACATGTTGCTGTTGTAAAAAATGATGCAAACGCTGACTGTACTGTGATATACATGTTGCTGTTGTAAAAAATGATGCAAACGCTGACCGTACTGTGATATACATGCTGCTATTGTAAATATCGCTGCAAGCGATGACTGTACTGTGATATACATGCTGCTGTTGTGAATAATGATGCAAGCGATGACTGTACTGTGATATACATGTTGCTGTTGTAAATAATGATGCAAGCGATGACTGTACTGTGATATACATGTTGCTGTTGTAAATATCGCTGCAAGCGATGACTGTACTGTGATATACATGCTGCTGTTGTGAATAATGATGCAAGCGATGACTGTACTGTGATATACATGTTGCTGTTGTAAATAATGATGCAAGCGATGACTGTACTGTGATATACATGTTGCTGTTGTAAATATCGCTGCAAGCGATGACTGTACTGTGATATACATGCTGCTGTTGTAAATAATGATGCAAGCGATGACTGTACTGTGATATACATGCTGCTGTTGTAAATAATGATGCAAGCGATGACTGTACTGTGATATACATGCTGCTGTTGTAAATAATGATGAAACCATGTCTGAGAGGAAAAAGAAAAATTCTGAAGATGAATGATACCTACGTTCTTGAAATAGTTGCGTGATATCTTCCTGTGTACAGGTGTCGGGTAAACAGGTGCCGATCTGAACTCTGGACAACGCCATCAAGTCAGTGATATCAGTTATCTAATGTAGAAACATACAAGAGAAAAACACAGTGTTTAAATTAAGATTCTGTAAAACTACAAACATTCTTAACTGGTGCCTGCACAGAAAGGAGAATTTAAATGGTATGACTGAATCAGTGATGTTGCGTTTTCGGAGAGAACTAAACAAGTTCCAAATTTCCAAGAGGTGAAGAAAAGAGGCTGGCGTTGGATAGGGCCCACTTTGAAAACAAAACATAAGAATAATATAAAAAAGAGCGTCTTTGTACTGGAACCCACAGAGGCACAGAAATAAAGATAGACCAAAAACCACATGAAAAAGGAAGCTAGAGAGTAAAGGTAAAAAGGTGAGGACCACATGTGATGGCCTTTATGCTGACCGGCACGGCACATGATCATGATTATGTTTACATAGTCTCAATAAACCTATAATGAAGTATACAGCATGCATTTATTTTTTACCTAAACACTTTTTTCTGTCAAATTTGGTGAACTGCAAAAGAATCTTCGGGAAAAGAAACAAAAGAAATATCATCATCATCATCATCATCATCATCATCATCATCATCATCATCATCATCATCATCATCATCATCATCATCATCATCAGGTGCCTTGCCGACTGGCGTGGGCGATCATGCCTCTCCATAATCTGCGATCTCCTGCAGCATGTATCAAGTCGTGTGCCGACACACCTCCATGCCATGCAACAAGACTGTCAAGCATCTTCTCTCGTTGTCTTCCTCTATCTCTCCTTCCACAGATCTTTCCAGTGGTCACAGTATGTTCTATTTTCCCACTTCTCATAACATGGTCGAAAAATGATGACTGTCTCCTTCTGATGTCTGTGATAAGTTGGCTTCGGGCTCCCGCCTCTTTCAAAACCTCTTGGTTGCTCTTTTTGGCTGTCCAAGGTATTCTAAGCATTCTTCTGTAAAAACACATCCCTGAGGCCTCTAGAAATTGTTTGGCCTGCCTACCGATTGTCCAGGATTCACAGCCATATGTTAAAACTGGATGTATGTAGCAAGCAAGAATTCTTTTTCTAACTCTCAATGACATGGATATATTGCACAAGAAATATGAACAATCTAACTTACGCCTGACACAGTTAAATTGGCCAAATACACCACGCAGTAATTGCCTCCAAATCCCTTTCCAGTCTTCCCTTCTGGAGATCGTATACCCCTACATTGATGGTAGTTGCCTGCGAACATCGACCGGCCCTCCAGCAGTGATGGGCCTGGCTTTGCCCAGGCATCAAAAACTGTTGAAAGGCAATATCGAAATGGTTTGTATAATGTACATCAACACAAAATAGGCATCTGAATATGGTGAATTATTTGTATCCCAGTTAAGAGGAGTAGTTTATCTGTTTCAGGTTATTTGATTATAACTGTAGTCGAAAAACGAGAACGATAATTTTTGAAAGCTATATAAATGTTATCCTGGTGTGCGGAAGTGAATCATGGACAGTTGGTTGATTAGTGAAAAATTAATTCGAAGCTGCGGAGTTGTGGTGTTATAAACGAATGGTACCAATATCCTAGACATATTAAAAAGAGTAATGAAGACGTCTTGAAAGAAACTGATTCACGAAAAGAACTGACTGCCCACATCAGAAAGAGAAATCTACATTATTTGGTCAAATGATGAGAAGGCGAAAACGAGTACATCGTGACAGTTGAAAAATTAGAGGGGAAGAGAGGCAGAGGGAGACCGAGAGAACTGATGCTGGACAGTTTGACATCATGGTATGGAGGATCATCTGAGTTAGAGCTGATTGAAAATATACGAGACAGAAGGTTGTGGATAGACATGACTACCAACGCGTCACAACATGGACTGTAAGAAGTAGTAGTAGGCCCCTGACTAGACACAACCAGATACGACATGCATTAAATGGTGCCATCTGATGTCAGTCCAACTGATTCTTTCTTATCTTTACTATACGCTTTTTCTTCTCCTCTTTCTCTATTTACATCGAAGGGTTTGGATGATGAGGAAGACGTGGTTAGGGCCTTGTGGAAGAAGGTGTACAATATGGAGGAGCAATCGGATCATCACAGTCTGGTGAGAGTGATGCAGCGGGGAGTAACGAGGGGATCTGACCTCTACTCGACGTTCAGAGGGAAGGCAAGACAAGCGTATTACCAGAAGGCTACTGGCACCAATGGTATTGGAACTCTTCACCGGCTGCTGAAGGTGGGGGCTTATTAGAATGCTCCGAGTGTTGTGATGTCGGTATTTGAATCAACTCAACTCGAAGGGTTGGGAAAAGGGTGGGGCGGGGGGTGTAAGAATCCTCTGTGTTCTCTTTCCAATGCGCTGTAAAAGGTGACTTTATTTCCTTGAAGCCATCGTTCCATCCTGTGTGTTCTTTCCTCTGCTCTGTGTCCATTATATTTCTTCAGTATGGCTCTCTGTGGTAGTTGATAACAGGGTATTCTCGTCGGAGGCAAAACCATCTCATCTGTTGCTCTTTGATGAACCCTATGTCTGGGTTCATGACTAATCTTCTCATTTAATTCTTTTGTTATTGTATATCTCTTCTTGTCAACACCAGCAACTCTTCTAAGACAAATCGTCTCTGTTGTTATGATTTTGAGTTCATCTGTTGTAGTAAAAGTCCAAGTTTGAAAGTGATAGCATAAGATTGACCACAAAATAGTTCTTATTAGGTTTGCTTCGTAGACAAATGGATACTGCCATGTGCTAGAATTTGTGATTTTGTGATACAGTACGTTTACAAATTTGTGCCAGTGTTACACAAATTTAATCTCAGCTGTAGTGGAATACCAATGGGTGAAATTATATATTAATATTTACTATATTCTCAGCGTAATGTCATATTTTTTTCCCAGTGCCTAACAAGTAATCAGAATGCATTTTTGCATATTCTAGGTAAATAAATATACAATTGTCCTTGCTGGATTTCTTTTTAAGAGTTATACAGCATAACATTTTATTGTGACTAATCGACCCTTCCCAAAAACACCTGTTTCTGCTTTTTCTTTCTTTCTTCTCTTTTCAACGTGAATTCCGAACAAAACCAGAATTCTCAAGCAGAAATTGTTGGGTAGCAGGCTACAAAATATGTGTTCTGGATCGTTCCCAAGTTCATGAGAAGTTCTAAAGGGGTAAATTATGTGGTTAGGGTTAGAGTTGGAGTAATTTATGTTGGTACTGTACAATTTAAGTTATTTGTGTGTGTGTGTGTTAAGTATCCAGAAACCACGAGTAAACCCTTTGGTATCGCAACCCCTCGTCCTTGATTCCATGATAGGTATCGTTAATCTGGGAGAAATGTGGCTTTTCTGCCTACCCCTGGGAGTTCGCCACCCGGCCGCCGCGAAAGCCAGGTTTAACCAGCAACGCTAGAGAGCCGAGCTAACATTTAAGTTACAGAAGTGATGAAAATAATAAAGAAAACGTCTGTTTCCATATAATCGAGCAGTCTAACTGTTATTTATGCATAAACCGTCCAGATACTCACAGGAAGCCATGCAATATGTTCCCGGGATAAGTTTTTTTCCTACAAATGATCAAAAACACAACGGTACGAATTTGATTAAAAATGCACTACAAATGTCTACAAGCTGGTTTTCTTCAGGATATCTCTACCATACTTCCTTCTCGTGTGAATTTTGATCCTACCTATTTGAATGCAGTTGTTTAATTTATCTCTATATCGTTTAATTTTACAGATATAGTTTCTGGTTGTCTAACGTTACAGCCGCATGTGAAATTATAAATGTATCAACTCATGTATATGGTTTCAGATTGTCTAACGTTACAGCCGCATGTGAAATTATAAATTTATCAACTCACGTATATGGTTTCAGATTGTCTAACGTTACAGCCGCATGTGAAATGATAAATGTATCAACTCACGTATATGGTTTCTGGTTGTCTAACGTTACAGCCGCATGTGAAATGATAAATGTATCAACTCACGTATATAGTTTCTGGCTGTCTAACGTTACAGCCGCATGTGAAATTATAAATTTATCTACTCACTTATATAGTTTCTGACTGTCTAACGTTACAGCCGCATGTGAAATTATAAATGTATCAACTCATGTATATGGTTTCAGATTGTCTAACGTTACAGCCGCATGTGAAATGATAAATGTATCAACTCACGTATATGGTTTCTGGTTGTCTAACGTTACAGCCGCATGTGAAATTATAAATGTATCTACTCACGTATATGGTTTCTGGTTGTCTAACGTTACGGCCGCATGTGAAATTATAAATGAATCAACTCACGTATATGGTTTCTGGTTGTCTAACGTTACAGCCGCATGTGAAATTATAAATGTATCTACTCACGTAAATAGTTTTTAAAGCTGGTTGACAGTTGTGTTGGTGACTTAAGGTAGGGTTAGACTTCGGGTTGACAACCTCGTCGAGTAACAACAATAACGGCAAAAATCCACCAGCCATTGAAAAGTCAACAACAGGAACACGAACTACCCAGCCAACCAAGATGGGGTGTTAGGAGAGAGAGAGAGAGAGAGAGAGAGAGAGAGAGAGAGAGAGAGAGAGAGAGAGAGAGAGAGAGAGAGAGAGAGAGAGAGAGAGAGAGAGATGGGGGGATCTCTTTAAACTGAAGAAGGATGACACAGTGCCTCCTTTCACCTAGGAAAAACTGGCACCTAGAATGTTACAACTGTATACGATGTAGGAAGAACATTAGAGATACTAAAGGAGGAACTGAAACATTGTAGGTAGAGAGTGGTAGATACGATGTAGGAAGAACAATAGAGATACTAAAGGAGGAACTGAAACATTGTAGGTAGAGAGTGGTAGATACGATGTAGGAAGAACAATAGAGATACTAAAGGAGGAACTGAAACATTGTAGGCAGAGAGTGGTAGATACGATGTAGGAAGAACAATAGAGATACTAAAGGAGGAACTGAAACATTGTAGGTAGAGAGTGGAGATACAAAGATGAGGAGGATATGGGTGGGCTGCTTACAATAGCGAAGGCTAGAACGACTTGGCGTGAGTTGGCTTAAGGCCCATGCTCCATTGGGGACAAAATGCAGAAGAAGAACGTTGTGTTGATCTACCCGTTCTCACCGGGACAGTTTTTGAAGCTATGTCATTAGTGTGTAATCAAAAAAAAAAAAAAAAAACCTCCCGTTTTTTCAAATCTAGAAATTAGCTCTAGAACAAAATATACACATGTCTGTAGAACTTATTAGATTTCATTGTTTTAGATATTTCAGGGCATTTGAAGAGCATATTGGTTGGTTTATTTCCTGGCGACAGTTATTCGAGTTGTAATACTATTGTCTAATGAGTAATTATGCCTTTCATCCCCGTGACCTAGACGAACAAAGACAAAAGGTGGGCTTAAAATGATTAGTTTGGGATGTCCCGTTTGGCAACTCAAATTATTAGTGCGATGTTCCCTTTTGCAACTCAAATTATTAGTGGGATGTTCCGTTTTGAAACTCAAATTATTAGTGCGATGTTCCCTTTTGCAACTCAAATTATTAGTGGGATGTCCCGTTTTGCAATTCAAATTATTAGTGCGATGTTCCGTTTTGCAACTCAAATTATTAGTGCGATGTCCCGTTTTCAGCACAAGACATTATTTGTGGTCACCCTATGTTGGTCTGAAGCGCCGGTTTGTACATCGGTGGTGAACGAGGGGAGGTTTAGAAGGAATCGATAGAAGCCCTATCATATGTGCCTAACACCGAACATGCACGAATAGGATTCGCTTGTTTTCACTTTTTGTTATTCGTGATAGAAAGTTGTCGAGGAATTTTGTCAAGAGAATTATTTAATGTCAAGTATCAAATAAATAACGCGATGTGTAGTATGTAGCCCCTACCCCACAGCGACAACCCTTCATTGATAAGAAACTAAAGTGATTGTGTGGGTTATAGGGTTGGGAGGGGGTCGCTGGAAAGGGGTCAGGGGATATGCTGTAGGCTCAAAACGCAAGTTTACTTACCCTGAAGTGCCCACATCTGGTTTGCTAGATAGCCTTTGATGGCCTGCTCAACGTGTTCTTCACACACAGACAAGGATTTGTTGCCTGGGTTCCATGTTGTCAAATCATTCCAGTTGTTGACCAGAAATACCGTCGCTTGTTGGCTGTACAGCACTGGACTTCTTACAGCGGACTGACCTTCCGGGAGCCGTGGAGTGCTGACTTCTGTTTGTTCTAATAAAGAAACGTAAGTGATATTCTTTTTTAAACCATGTCGTTCGTTTCTCTGTATCAAAGCTGATTTGCTGGATCCAATAGTTATCGTGTTAACGTCTTTTGTTGTCCAACTACTTACGCTGAAAAGCGTCTCAGAGAGGAATAACATATAGCTTCCTGTCTTTCGCTAGTTGCGTACCTTGTCTTAAAGGTAAAAAGTAAAGGTGAGGTCGAGAGATGTGAACCAGCTTCATTGCACACGGTTATGAACCATAAGTGCTCTGAAACCAGTACGGACAGCTGTAACAAACTGTCCGCCTGTGTCGCCGTCCGCACGCAACTCCGTAGCTTCAGCAAAGTTCTTCCATTTACTCCAGTTTTAACTCTGGGTGAACCCCGTGAACCGCCCGGTTTCGAACACCGTCCGTGGGCTGCAGCGAGTCGCAGCTGGATTTGAAAGCGAGTCTCCTTATCGACTACGCTAACGCGGCTCTAGTACCTTGTCTTAATGTCAAGCTGCTTTTCTGTAGTGGTTTTCACTCCTTCTACCCATTTCTTTCTTGGTCGGTCTCTTGCCTTGTAGCCTGGTTTTCTCATGTAATACTCTTTGGTTGCTGGCTGATTGTGTTCCATTCTGACCAGATGACTGAACCAACTAAATTATTTTACCTAGTAATTATTTTTTAAATTCTTTTATTAATGCAGATACTATAAACGGTAGTCATCATTTAGTTGAGTATTGTTCGCAGGACGTCGCAGAACCAACCCTACTATTTGTTTGGCTGTTGTGGGTTTTTTCTAGGTAAATTTACGTCCAGTAATTTGCCATTGCCCTTAACGGCAGGCTTTCAATACTGTTGTCGAAACCATGGCAAGGCGGTCTGCCAATTCGCATGCAGCTGGGATTAAACTAGGCACCTCGGCGTTAAGAAGCGCCTTCGCAATGCCTAAGCCACAGACTCCATCCATCACTTAGTGGGTACAGTTACTGGATACAGCAAGCAGCTGGTGCTATAAATAAATTGTAAGAAAAGCAAATTGTGGTCATCTCTGTGATTGAAAACATATTTAAATAGACTTAATATTTCACAGATACTGAAAAGTTAAATTTCTTTATCTTGGAAAAGTCACAACATCGCAGGGAAAACGTTTTTTTTTTTTTAAAGAGAATATACAAGAATTATCATGGGAAAACTGACTTCTTCCAAACAGAAACTTTTGTTGAATAGAAGAAAAACCAGCAACTGTCAGTTTAGTGGGAAAAGAGAAGACGAAAATGGGGGAAAAGATGATGAGGTGTGAAGAACGGAAAAACGAACAAACGAACGAACGTACGGACGAACGAAGGCTTAATAATGCTTACAGATTGGGCACACAGGCCGGTCTTACATTCAGCCCTTCCAAGCATTCACCTTTCATTCGCCAGTTGCATTTTATAGCCACACATAAATCTGCTTAACAAGTGTGGCTATCGAATCAGTACGGTACCTGTTTGGCCCAAAACCCGCATGCTCATCCGTTAACTGGCACATCAGCGACATCTACACGTTTTTCTAGATAAATATTTCCCTAGCACCTGGAAGCAGGAAGAAAATCAAGAGCAAAAAAAAAGGGGGGGGGGACAGCGGTGGGGGGGGGTGTGGGGGTGGGGGGTTGGAGACAGAGAAGCAGATAGATAGATAGAGAGAGACAGAGAGACGGAAAACACGGTGTTAAGAAAGCGGGCAACAATATGGACAAGAAAAACTGCCTTTCAATTATCCCATTTGAAAGCTTTTATACTCGTGAAATATAGTGATAAATACCAGTCAGACTAGAAGACCCGATGTCTGTGGCTGGTCCATGATAACCTTGGTGGTTCCCAGATGTACCGAGGTTGTCAGACGTAGGGCATTCAGAATGTTCTGCTCCTGGTGACCCAGGACAGTAGAGAAGACTGTCGTCATCTTGAGTAGCACCTGAAACTATAAAGGAAGGAAACTGTAAAGTGTAGAAGAAACAGTCGTAGCAGGATCAATAGGCAGCTAGCAGTCCCATTGGAGAAACGTACAGTAAGCAAACTGTAACGTATAGAAGAAACAGTCGTAGCATGATCAATAGGCAGCTAGCAGTCCCATTGGAGAAACGTACAGTAAGCAAACTGTAATGTATAGAAGGAACAGTCGTAGCATGATCAATGGGCAGCTAACAGTCCCACTGAGGAAACGTACAGTAAGCAAACTGTAACGTATAGAAGAAACAGTCGCAGCATGATCAATAGTCAGCTAGCAGTCCCATTGGAGAAACGTACAGTAAGCAAACTGTAATGTATAGAAGAAACAGTCGTAGCATGATCAATAGGCAGCTAGCAGTCCCATTGGAGAAACGTACAGTAAGCAAACTGTAATGTATAGAAGAAACAGTCGTAGCATGATCAATAGGCAGCTAGCAGTCCCATTGGAGAAACGTACAGTAAGCAAACTGTAATGTATAGAAGAAACAGTCGTAGCATGATCAATAGTCAGCTAGCAGTCCCATTGGAGAAACGTACAGTAAGCAAACTGTAATGTATAGAAGGAACAGTCGTAGCATGATCAATAGGCAGCTAACAGTCCCACTGAGGAAACGTACAGTAAGCAAACTGTAACGTATAGAAGAAACAGTCGCAGCATGATCAATAGTCAGCTAGCAGTCCCATTGATGAAACGTACAGTAAACAAACTGTAATGTGCAGAAATACTACTACTATGATGAATAATGGGCTAGCAGCTCATTGAAGAATTATGTAGTAAAGAAACTGTAATGTGCTGATTTGCACTTACATAAGAATAAGAAAGAAGTCGTCTACTTTGTTCTCCCTCTTATGATTTTCACGAGAGAAGGTCACAGCACTTACAAAGTTAGTGGTGAGAAGCATTTCTTCCACTGCTCCATACAGATAGGTTTCCATTGGACTGTCAACTGGCCAAAGCTGGGGTCTCTCTACTGTATGTAGACAGTATGTCTGTAGCACATGTTCTGTATTCTGCGGTGCCTGTCCACCTGGTCAAAGTTCTGGACCCCAGATCTTGAATTCCCTGTACTGCAAAGTGTGTTGTGTCTAGTACGCAGTCTAAAAACGAGACTGGTTCTGATGCCTGCATTGATTCTTCCTTCCTAAATGAATCCTGTAGAGACACGGAGCCATATCAACTTTGCCTTTCACTTTGTGTGTGCTCTCGTGTCTTCCTTCTTCTGTCATTGTGATACCCACTGTTGGCTTCCTAATTATCATAGTTTTATTTTGTGACAATAGTGTAATAACATAAGGAAGTCATAAGGGAACGGAAACAACAACATTTGTGTCACAATACCTTGTTTAGCTGTCGTGAAACTATAGAGAATCACAATAAGTACCAAGTAGTAATCCATGGCTGAGATGGCATTCATTCCTGTTAATTAAAACAAAGAGAAATATGAAAGTAAATGTGGCAAGACGCTGTCAGTGTAGCAAATGCTTCTTCTTATGTGTCCGTTATACCCAATGAAGCAAAGGCATCAGTCAGCTCACGCAAGTCATGTTATCTTTTTCCATAGTTTGCAGCTCACACTCGTCAATATTTGAGCGTCACTCTCTACTTTCCTTCCAGACGTGTTCTGATCCCCTCTCCGTCCAAACAGACCGTGAACTGGCCAGCCAAACAGACCGTGAACTGGCCAGATAGCCAGTCTTGTTTTACTCTAGGGTGATGCGTGGTCTCGAGTTCACGGTGTCCGCCTCGAGTGCTAGACGTTCCGGGTTCAATCCGGGACTTTTCACGTGGACTTGGACTTTTAGTAATTCCCCCTAGTCTCTGGGTAGTGAGATCAAACGCCCGTGTGCATTGCTGCGCACGTAAAAAATCCCATAGCGGTTGCCCGGGCAAAATTTGGAGTTAAAAATCTACCCAAAGTATTTCAGGATCCTCACTGGTGCTACAGAGCCTGTGCGCTGTGCTGAGTTTCTTCGGATTTAGACGAGTTAGAAGAAGAACGGACACTTAATGGGTTACACCCGTGTGCCATGATGTTGGTCCGTTGTTCAAAACGTCAGACTTCTATACAGTTTTTACTCTGACACGCCACTACAGCTAAATTATTTGGGCACCCAACAACTTAGTTAATCTGAGCTTTGTTTAAATGTGCTATATTAATCATAATAATAATAATCAATCAATCAATCAATCAATAAGGTGCCGCATCCAGAATGAAGGTCATTTGTAATGGATCGCAAACACTCCATGTCCGTTACATGGATAGCACATTCTATCCGACTGCTGTTTTCCATGTCTTGATTTTGTCCTCCCACTTCTGTCGTCATATATATCTTGATCTCTTGTCTTCAGCTTTTTCATCCAGTACGATTATTAAAAGAATGTTATGTGTTTGTTTTAGGATTGATAAAATATATCAGCTGTCTGTGGTATTTCTTCAGAGCTGACAAAATGTCTCATCTCTCTTTGGTATTTCTTTAAAGTTGAAAAAATATCTCAGGTGTCTTTGGTATCTCCTTAGAGCTGAAAAAATATTTCAGCTGTCTTGTGGTATTTCTTTCAGCAACTCTCTTTTCATACCTAATCTTTTCAAAACCTCAGCTTTTAACCCCTCTCCCGGTACACCCCCCCCCCCCTTTTTGTTTTCTCCCCTATTAAATACAATCTATTTTTATGTGTATCCACATCTCCGGATACACATTATTTTTTATTATTATTATCATCATCATCATTACTATTACTGTTATTAAGTTCTGAATGGCAAGTGAATTTAATAATATATTTGAAATAATGTGAAATATATAAACAAACACTTCAAATAATTATGTCTATGCTTGGCTGCAGGGCAGGAGAGGCAGTACTGATCTCCCCTTGCATATTTTATCTATAGCGGGGGCGGTGTGGGGTGGTGGGGGGGGGGGGGGGGTTGAAATAGGAAAATTAGGTTAACTCAATGCCCTCTTTCCTGTATTGAAACACAAACGATGGTTCTCTCTGGAAAGACGGAATAATCACAATCCTAACGCTGGTAAACTTTCAATATATTTATCAATCTGATCAACAGGTACGGTTATCCAGGTCTGTCTGTATATAAATAGAGAAGGCCGTGGAGTATCATGCTTATTTATACCGTAACCAACATCCAGTATCTGGAAAGCGAAACTCCCTGTACATGCCAGTTATAATGCAGAAACGTTGAACAGGATGGAGTTGATTTAGTTACATCTGATGCCGCTGCTGTTTCTGCTACAAGGGCAACGAAACCAAAATAGCAAAAAACAACAGCTACAACTGTTTCTAGTACTACTACTACTTACGCTACTACTACTACTTTAAACTACTGCTACTACCACTACTATTGCTACTACTGTTGTTGTTATGGCTGCTGCTGCTGCTACAACTGGAACAATACGTGCACAAATACGAACATGTCTGACGGGGGAACAGCATTAAGCAACTACCACGTCCTCCTTTAAATAGCACCTTCGCGATGGGGTGTGATAATTGTCAAATGATAACTTTCAAGATCACGAGATACTTATCAAAAGTCAATAGAAATATCACAAACTTAATCACAGTCTCCGACATCTATGCTAACTAAACCCACACAGCAGGACCACACAATTTGGAACTATGCTAGATTACCCATTCTTGTACAGGGCCAATATTGCTTTACCTCCTTCTCCCTGTATCGCTTCGCCTTGTCATCTTTCCTCTTTACATTCTTGTTCCTATCTCCTTTACCTTAGACTTATAATTCTTTTTTTTTTCTCTTCCCTTTTTCCTCTACCCCTCCCCCAACCCCTCCCCCTCCCGCCAGCATAAATGGTCCATCTGCGGCAATAAAACGCTGATATACATGTACAATTACACACACACATATATGTGTATATATATACACACACACACATACGCCTGCACGTCCACGTGAGAAGCGCCACCTCCCCGCCCCCTTTTTTTCATAAATGGACCTTCTATGGCAATAAAACGCTGACAAATGGTCTCGTGTTAAGTTGATTTCTCCGCACCTCTATGAGGTTCGTGGTCTCGTGGTCAGTTGATTTCTCCTCACCTCTATGAGGTTCGTGGTCTCGTGGTCAGTTGATTTCTCCGCACCTCTATGGGGTTCGTGGTCTCGTGGTCAGTTGATTTCTCCGCACCTCTATGAGGTTCGTGGTCTCGTGGTCAGTTGATTTCTCCTCACCTCTATTGGGTTCGTGGTCTCGTGGTCAGTTGATTTCTCCTCACCTCTATGAGGTTCGTGGTCTCGTGGTCAGTTGATTTCTCTGCACCTCTATGAGGTTCGTGGTCTCGTGGTCAGTTGATTTCTCTGCACCTCTATGAGGTTCGTGGTCTCGTGGTCAGTTGATTTCTCTGCACCTCTATGAGGTTCGTGGTCTGGTGGTGAGGTGATTTCTCTGCACCTCTATGAGGTTCGTGGTCTGGTGGTGAGGTGATTTCAGCTTACCTCTCTGAGTGTAACAGGTACATTTTAAATGGGATAGAGAAGAATAGGGGACATAAAAGTAGAGAGAGACAGACGAGTTAAATGATGTATGAGAGGACAATAGGTTCTCCTGTGTGGAGAGTGTAGTAATATGTCTACACCCCAAACGATCAGGTAATAGTCTGTGGAGGTATGAAAGAGAGAGTATAAAGTTGAATAAAGACAATGACAACTGAATAATATCACCACTCCTATACTCAACAAACTAATGACGGAATAAAACAATTCTGTTTATTAGGTACCAGAATTAAAAAGTGGCATATCTCATATTACACAACCAAAATCACCTTAAACCAAAGATAGGTACTTAATTTATAACTTACCCCTGACGTCACGACAACGTCACGGGAGACATTCCCAATAAATGCTAGGGTGTTCAGGTTGTAGTTTCTCGCGATTTCTCTACAGCCAAGTTTAGGGTTAGGGTTATGGTTAGCATTAGAAGACACTAGATGAACATTCAAAAAAGCACCACACAACAGCTCACTTCCACCCCTTTAAAAAATGGACTGTAAGGTCAGCTGTGGATTTCCCACGGGGATTTCGTGTTTGGGGTACGTTATAAATTAAGAACCCTTAGATATTATACCAAGTTATAATCAGAACGTCCTGACACCATAAAACCTCACATAGTTTAACAGTTCATTGCAACTGACAGCAGAATCTGCTCCGCTCAACAATAAACTAACAAGTGACTCCTAGAATCTCCTTCATTGCTCTTAATCATTTATTACCAGGTAGGGATGGTAGTGAAGTTTTATTTTTTAGGTTTTTACTTACGAAAGTATAACAGCTAGATAAAGATTAAAATTACAAATCCAATGGTACCTCATTTAAGCCTGTAAGTCGATTCTAAGCGGAGATATTAACATTTTAGTGGCGGATACCACCACAGAAAAATTGTAGTGAAAATAGATAAAACATGGCTTCCGGCTGCGACCCAGTGAGATGAAATGACTCAATGTTTGATTTTACGGCCATAACTTTTTTGTTTCTGAACGAATCCCTTAGCAACCAAATATTGCTGGAAGCGGGACAGTTAGACCAAACTGCCTATGCACGTTTTAAAACATATAATACATTATGCACCTAATTAACATATGAAAATGGCCCCCAGCTCAGTATTTTTAAGCAAAACATTATACCTGTATAGCGAGCCTGGCGACATGCATATCAAATTGTGCGTCCCGACAAGGTGAACACAAAGATCATAAAAATATACCAAGGTCAGTAGACGTGACCTAATTAACATATGAAAATGGCCATCAATTGACTTTCTTTCAGCAAAAACCGTATACATTTATAGTTGTCTGCCAATGAGTTTTGTACTGAAACCACCAGCGCTTTCGACACCTGCTGGAGGGAAGCTGCAATCAGGAAACTGAGCGTAGTTGGAATTGTAGGGAAAACTCTCAACTATATCAAGAGCTTCCTACAAGACCGAACCTTCTCAGTAGCAGTCAAAAACGAAAGGTCGGCAATCCACAAGCAAGAGAACGGCACCCCACAGGGCTCGGTGATTTCCCCTGTTATCTTCTCCATCCTCGTGAACGATCTCGCGGAGGCCATAGGGGTCGACAATGTCGGTCTGTCCCAGTACGCTGACGACTGCGCAATATGGTGCTCTAGCGTCCTCATAGAAACACGCCGTCGATCAGCTGCAGGAGGCGGCCAACAATGTAGCAGGATGGATGGAGAAGTGGGGCTTCAGAATCAACCCAACGAAATCCGTCCAGATGATATTTCACTGGAAAAGGAAATGGTGGGCACGTAGTGACTCTGAAACCCGCATCGTGATAAACGGGCAAAGAATACCGAGGAAAACACAAACGACATTCCTAGGAATGTTACTTGACCAACAGATGAACTGGAACCCACACATAAAGCAAACC